GCCAAAGCATCTTCAATTCTTGGCACCGTGTATTGGTCGGGAGTGGTGCGGCGGTTTAGGGTCCGAAAATCCACACACATCCTTATTTTCCCATTCTTCTTTCTCACGACCACAATGGGTGAGGCATAAGGACTGCGTGACTCTGTAATAACACCAGCAGTTTTTAGCTGCGCTAGATGCTGTCTCAATGCCTCTATGTCAGCAGGTGGCAACCGACGAGACCTCTCCCGAAATGGTTTGTCCTCTGTGGTTTTAATAGTGTGCTGGGTGCTCTTACTGCATCCGACATCAAACTCATGCAGAGAGAAAACTTCACTCGTTATGCTCAAGCTTTTCCAACAAAAGACCAGAGAGCCTCTACGGTTGCAAAGGTGTTGCTGGAGAAGTATTTCGTTCATTACGGACTGCCACGGAGGATGCACAGTGATCAGGGCAGAGATTTTGAAAGTCGTCTTGTTCATGAAGTGTTGAGTTCGCTTGGAGTTGAAAAGTCAAGAACGACGCCCTATCATCCTCAAGGAGACCCTCAACCCGAGAGATTTAATAGGACGTTGTTGGACATGTTGGGGACCCTGGAACCGAACAGAAAGAAAAAATGGAGTCAGCACGTCGTTCATTTGGTTCATGCTTATAATTGCACTCCAAATGAAGCTACAGGTTTCTCTCCTTATTTCCTTATGTTTGGGCGTGAAGCTAGGTTACCTGTGGATTTGTGTTTCGAGACTTCTAGTGATGGCACACCACAGAAAACTTACCTCAAGTACGTTTCTGACCTGAGGAAGGAGTTGAAGGCTGCCTATGAACTAGCAGAGTCCGTCGCGGCCAAACAGAATGAGAACAATAAGCAGCGGTATGACAAAAGAATCAGGTTCGCACAGTTGTTACCTGGAGACAGAGTCTTGCTACGAAACCTCGGGTTACAGGGGAAGCATAAACTGGCCGATCGCTGGGCGTCAAAACCATATGTTGTGGAAAGCAAGATGCCGAACCTACCAGTGTTCCGGTTGAAACCTGAAGATGGTGATGGACCAATCAAGATCCTCCATCGAAATCACTTACTGCCTCTTGGGGAGAGGATATGTCTAGACTCTGCATCCCATACGGATCTCACCCCTACAAGGAGAGTCTTGCGATGGAGGAAACAGAAAGAATGCACAGACAAGCCTGGAAAGGAAAAGACACTATCGCAGAGAACGGCAGATAAAGACTCTGAAAGGGAAGGAGTCACACCCAGTGATAAAGATGAGAAAGAGTACACTGACTCCGAAGATGAGGATTTTGGCCTTTGGTGTGATCTGACTGTTGAACCTCTCAGGTGCAACATGGATAGTGATACTCTGGAACCATTCAGTCTGGATTTGGGTATTTCCTTAAGCGACGTAGCTGAACAACCAAAAACAGTTGGGCTGGGAGTAACACAGAAATGTGTAGAGGAACCTGAGACGGACAGTGTAAATGAATCTGAGTCTGTTGAGATCACCGAAGCCGAATCACCTGATACTTGCGAGAATCCTGAGGAGGCAGGGAAAGAGAAAACACTGAATGCAGACCTTATTTCGCAAGAAGAAGATACTGGATTTAACTCTGAGACTAATCCTGACTTTGACATTAAGACCAGACCTCAGAGGTTAAAGAGGGCTCCTTTGAGGTTAACTTATAATGAACCAGGTCATCCCAGTGTGGTAGCCGCCACTACAGTGAAATATGTCTCTTGTTTTTATAAGTGGATAGGTACATCCATCTTTGCTTAGTTGTGTGTTTTACTCACCTGTTGTGCCATAATGGTTTATGTTTTCAAGGTACAAAGTCATGAGGGCATGCTTTTCTTTGGTGGGGGGAGAGTGTAATACTCTGATAAATATCAGTGGTATTTATTTTGTTTTCATGAGAATAAGTTAAAGAGAAAATAATTGTTCATGGTGAGGTTAAGAGTGGTATAAATATGTGATATAAATGTTTGTATTAAAATGCATAAATCGTGTGTGAAAAAATCAGTTATGTTAAAAAAACATAATTTCATGGAATGTGAATGTCTGTTAAAAGAGAGGAGGTGTAACTTGTCTTATATGCTACGTCACGAGAGGTCATGACTTGCAGATGACTTCCGGGGGAAAGAGACTCGGGAGGAAGAGAGGAGAAAAAGGAGGATTACTAAAATGGCATAGACGAAGCACGGACTTCGGGACTGCTTATGTCACCAAAGTTGTTCGGCAACAACTTATCACCCGTCTGCGGACTTCCCGGTAATCATTCGGAGCGTTTGAGCCGGGCTTCCCGTATCTTTTGTGCTTGGCTAAGCACGAGGCACGTTTGGCTACGTTGGCTAGCTGGAGCTAGGCTAACGCCACGGTCCTGGCTAACGGAGATTCCGCCGGAGCGAAGAGACGGAGTTTGAGAGTTGTCTCGGGAGAGAGTTGCTAACCGTGGATGATTTGCTGCTATCTAAGGAACCGGAGATTCGTTGCTCGCTGCCGCGAGTGGAGACGGTTGCTACCACAACGAGCGAGTTATTCATCGGAGGAGGTGGAGACATCACGGATACTCGGAGGTATTGTTGTTATTATTAAGAGCTCCAACTAAAGCGCGCCAACAACAAAAATAAACTAAGAGTGCACTCTGGGGAAAGAATAACATTGGACAGGTTAAGGGAAAAAATACTAAAATCTATCCCCCGGGGGTTTATTGTATGTTTTGTATATGTGTTTTTTTCATGAAGAAAAAAAGGGTTGGATGTGAATTTCCTGCAATTGTTTAATACATTTTCTAACCCTGAGATCCTGTGTTGGGTTTATTGCATGGTGTCTTATCATTTGAGTATTCACATGTATTAGCCTTAATCGGTTAAGTGTATTTCCTTAGCCTCCGCTTGTCTGTGTAGACACGAGAATCATATGAACCTTAGACTGATATTTATTTTTCGAGATGTATCTTTTATCACAGAATGTTTAAGTAGAGTCAAGACTGCACCCGAGGGCATAAGGGGGGAGTCTTGTCACACGAGCCGGTGGTAAAAGTGTTACACATACAAAGAACTTTATGAAAGAGTGAAGCTTGCAGTAAACTTTAAAATACTTGACTATATTTTTACATACAAAAAACTTACAGTGTTCACACGTGATGTATGCCGTACCCCTCTGGATACACAGTATGTCCATCCATTCTCTTCCACTTCTCCAATTCAGGGTAGTTGGGGGGCTGGAGCCTATACTGGCTGTCGGAGAGAAAGAGGCAGGATACACCCAGTCTGTCGCAGGGCTAACACATAGAAACAGACCACACAGCATATGTCTGTACTATATTCAAACTTGTTTCATATTTCTGCAAGTAAGATTGGAGTCACTGTAGCCGCAGCTGTTGTTATGCTACCTACCGGTAACCATGTGAAACTCACAAACAGTACTCCTTCCAACAGAACGTGTTTGGTCTTTATTGGTGAACGGCTGTGGAATCAAAGCACTTTGAAATCGGATGATGCTTTTTTAATACACCCTGTACAATCAGACAGTCACTTTATTGTACTGACATATGTGCACAATGTACTGAGGTTCACAGTTGTTTCAGGACGTGTAAAGTTGTGAAACCTCATGTGTAATGTGCAAAAGAATAATCTGACCAGGAAGTTGTTCTTTTAAATCTCATTTTGGGGGCAGAATCACCAAATATTTAACCTCCGGACAAAAAATAAAGCTCTCAGACACCTGGAGTTGATCCAAGATGGTTGCCAAGTTGTGAAACTTGCTTCTCTGGGGGAACCCCAAGCATCATTTTGAGTGGGTGCAATCAGCTCAGGTGGCTAAGGTAGGTAACCCAGAATACAGACTGATCTAAAAGCAGTAAGAACAAAGACTCCAGCAGGAGGAAACACAGTCAAAAATACAAGGCAAGACTGAAACAAATGTAACTAAAAGATGCCATAACCATCTGAATATGTGAAACATATAGGAGAACAGCGAGGGATATTTTAAGAAAAGGTAAGCGTTTCTTAAAATACAAAGTCCAACAGGTGAAATCTAAAACCCACAAACAAGAGACTTAGACATGCAGGAGTAACACAAGACTATATACACAAACAGGACTGATTAGACAACAGGACACGGGAGGAATCACCTGACAGCAGACGATAACAGTCAAGGAAACGTAGGAAGAAAGAGACCGGAAGTAAAACTAACCTTCAACATAAAACAGGAAATAACCAAAACATAATAAAAGACATAAAAAGTTACAGACAAAAGAACACAAAGGGACTAAAACCAGACGGAGGGAGGCACTGGAGAGCCGACCTCTACTACTACTACTCTATTATATTATTATACTACTATAATAATGTAATATAATATTATACTACTATTATATTATTAATACTACTACTACTACTACTAATACTAATAATAATAATAATAATAATAATAATACTAATAATAATAATAATAATAATAATAATAAAGACATTAACCCAAAATTATAATACTAAAACTCATCATCAGGGTAATAAGATCAAACCAGAACCAACACTCAGAAATGAACGAAAAACCTCAAATTAAGCCTCATAAACTGAGGAGACTAAGTATCCAAGCTACACAGTATCAGTAATGAAACATCGAGTTGCTCTTCATCACATAAATATAACTAAAATCAAATCTTTTTTTCTGTAGGATTGTGCAAAAGAGTCCAAACTTTGTCTCGATTTTCAAAAGAACGGGCAGACCTTCACTAAAGCTGTCTGACATGATGTGTATTTCTTGCTGTCAGCTCCACTGAAGTGACCGGTGATTAAGCGCAGGCCTACGTGGGAACTTGCCTCTACAGATCACATCTGGCATTCGTCTGTCAGCCTTTACTTCTGTTTGTTTTACAGTCCGGTTCACATTTATGTCTTTATAAAGGCCACTCGCCTGTGTTTGACGTTTAAATCACGAAATGCAGCGTGAACTTTTTCCACCCCATTAAACCTGATCCTGCTAATACCCCCCCCCCACCTTCCTCCCCTCCTCCGCCTCCCCCTCACCACCGCTGCTGCTGCGCTCCTCATACTTTCCAAATAAAACGGATCCAGCTGTGTCCAGCTGTGTGCCCTGCGTGCGTCACACCCGTGTGCTGCTCGGTAGACAGACTAGGTGGAAGAGAAGGAAAGATGTCCGGCATCGCGCAGCTGTCGGTGTTCCGGGGTTTGTGCTTTCTGTGGGCAGCCGTCGGCACGGCGAGGAGCGGGACCTTGTTCCCGCGGGAGAGCCTGGAGCGGGGGCCGGTCAGCTTGACCGATATGTTCCGAGAGGTAGAGGAGTTGATGGAGGACACTCAGCACATACTGGAGGAGGCAGTGGACCAGGTTGGCGTCATATTTTATCCATTCATATAAAGCCAGTGCTGACTGGCAGAGAAATCCAATGTGTCCATATTAAAGTAAATACGCGACAGTTTTATTAGAAAGCAGGGGGATAAAAAAGTGTTTCAAATTATTTTAATGCTCAGTTACTTTTAGCAGACACATAGTTTCCGTGTCTGCTTTAAATCTGACCCACGCCGTGCTGAGTACCACCGTCACTCATCATGATAGTATTTGCTTAAAATAGAGATTTCCCGGCCAGACACTCAGTTCAATAAAAGAAAAGGCAATACGGAAGAGCTCCTGCAAGAACTTCATACAAACAGCTTTTTCTAGACAGCCTTCAGTACCTTGTGTTTGTTATTTTCCTTCCCAAGAATTGAATTTCAGCAGGTCCGATACATTTCCTGATGTCAGTGAGCGTCTGGTTTTAATAATTTCTGGGCTACTGGGAGGTTTCCCTGTTGCATCAAGCAGAGAATGCAAACTATCCATTTTTATAGCCCCCTTAAGGATCCATATTTTCCAAAATATGAACAACAGATGTACAGTATAACATATGCTGCTCTTTATTTAAGATTTACCCTAATTTTCCTTCCAACAGATCACTACAGAGAGTGCAAAATCCTCTTCAGGCTCACTGGAGCTGGGTCCTAACTACCACAATGAGACTACGATGGTGATAAAGAACGGAGACAAAGCAGTTAAGGTGCTAGACAGAACTGACAAGGTAGGGATTCACTCATTACCGTGTAACTTTCGCACACAAGCCATTCACTTCAGTCTACAGTGTCTGAGTGGGTTTAGGATTAATTGGTAAGAAAAGAAAAGTTGTTTTTCTTCCCCAGGTCTGATACAGTATTTCACCCCCTTACTGTTTTTATAGGACACTAACAACAACACTGGGGAGACTCATTTGTCCCATGTTCATATGGAGATCTCCAGCCAGTGGAACAACATGAATCATGTGAGTCTTTTACCTCTTGTCCTTGATCCAGACCTAAACCTAAACCAAGTTTTAAACAAGGTTTTGTCTTTTTCTTCTGTGTCCACATTTTCCCGATGCTGCCATGAAGCTGCTATTTTTATGTGTCAATGGAAAATTGTATTTAGTAGTCAGTATAATCTTTTAGTGATATAAGTTTGCTTATGGTGAGTCAGTATTTTGTACTGAGATTAATAGTTTAACATTTTGGCTTGTATCAAGTTGGGATTCTGGAAATATTTTGGAGAAACACAAAATCCAACTCACTTAGTTTCAGACCTCTTTTCAAAGCGATGGAAAGTTTACAGGCTGCCTTTTGGAAACATAAAAGCTCAAGCCTCTTTTTTATTACATTCCAATGAGAATCTGTCAGTATTATTTTAAATATTTATCAGCTTTTAGAGTGCTTGATTTCAGATGCATTTTCCTTCAGTTTGGGAAATATTCCACATTTGTAAGACGAGACAGAGAGAAAGAGAGGTTTTTGAAACCATGGGACCATTGTATTAATACGTTTTTTCAAAAAAAAGAATGATCTCATCCAGCAAAGAAACCTACTATATACTTTTCATAGTTTTCACCAAGAGGAGGCCAGTTTGGATTGAGGTTGCTGCTGCTGCTTGCTGCCTGCTCTTTACTTTACGGTGGTGGTTTTGATCTTTTTCTTTCCTGGCAGCTGTACAGATGGTGGTTATGTTAATAGAGGAAAAAATGCCAAGGAAGCAAGGAAGATTGTAAGCCAAAAAACTGTACTTTTGTAAAGAAACTACTAAAACAAACAAGCAAACAAATTAAACAACTAATGCCATATGTATTTAACCTTATTTGTTAAGTCACAGTAGAGTAGAGTCAGTTAATCGCATGGCACTGTTGCTGCTTCAGAAAAAAAAATTAGTCAGCGCATGGGGAGTTGAAGAAAAGCACATGTAAGCTAAAATGTGGAAACATTTGGTTAAAATGTGGATGCTTTTTGGATGAGTAGAGGCAGTCTGCGATTAATGTGATTTAAGTGAATAGAGGGTCTAGATAATTTCCTACAGCACTGCTGTCCATAACAATTGTCAGTCAAATGCCTTATTGTTTCTACAAAGCGTTGCAGACAACTGTGGCTACTACATTTCAGCTGTTGCGTTAAATGTCCCGTATTTTGCTCCTTTGTGGTTTCATAACTCTGGTCTGTGCTCTTTTTACCCTGATTCTGCATACCTCCATTTCTGCTGCTGAATTTTCTGATGGGTTACCTAGCCCAGCTAAGACACTGCGTTGGCATGAGTTCTCTACCTAACTCGTTAAGTAGCAGTGCAGCATTCTTAGAAAATGTCAGTTGCCAATAAAACTGCAAGGCATGCGCTCCCTCTTTGCTTGTGAGTGTGCTGAAAGAGCTACTAGGCAGAAACCGTGCCTTTGTGTCAACTTGTAAGATAGATAAGTAATGAGAAGACAAATTGTATTAAGCTGTGTGAGAGAATAACTGAGCTTCTGCCAGGAGCACTTCAGACAAACCTAGGATTGTTTCTCCATTTTCAGACATTTATATTTGGTGGCATTTCTGGGACCTCCCCGCCATTTGAAAATCATACGTAGAAAGCCTAAGAGGAGGGGGAACAGCAGCAAGATCCTCCTACTGTTATGATTTAACCGAAGCAGGACGGGACACAAGAAAAGCAGTTGACAAGGTTTATTCACCAATTCATAATGTGAAGTGGAATTTTCAGAGGCAAAGCCAGAGAGGAGAGACATTGTAGGAGAGTGGTGAAAACAAACAAGCAGACTAGAGAGCAAAACAATAAAATACTGTGTGGAATTCCTGGCACACAAGGAGGAAATCTGGAGCACAGCACAATTCTAAGGTGTTAACTTGAAAACACAAAAAAATTAACACTAAAGAGTATGAATTATATTATAAACAATCTGTAGAGTGTAGGCGGAAGAGCTGGCGCCATGGTGGATGGGACAAGTGCACAATCCAGGGAACCAGTGATAACAGTTGTGTAGCCATGGCTCTGGGAAACACACAAATGTACACAAATGCAGGGAGAGAAAGGTCAACACTGCAGGCAAGCAAGGATTGCCCACAGAACAAAGCAGACAACCGACAAATAGCGCAAACAGGTTGAACAATATGGGGTGGTGGTGGGTGACAAAGCAGCTTGCAGCAAAATGGCACGCTCCTATAAGACTTGCTAATAGGATGAGCAGAATAGAATCTGCTAAGCCGCCAGCTGATGAGAGCTGGCATCTGAAATCTGCTGAACTTGACTCCCCGACCTGCAAAAAATAACAGTTGATTTCCAAGCTTTGCAACTTTGTCATGTTACATTTCCTCAGAAAAATATAAAGAAGAAACCCCCAAAAAAGGATCATAGAGGAACTTTAAGTCATCCATTCCTCACAAATAAAACCAGGACTCTGTAATGTGTGATTAATATCTAACCTTTTAGCTTCATTTGACCTGTTTTCCTGTATTGATGAGGTAGAAACGCAGACAGTAATAACGCTTTCGGGCAAGAAAACTGAAATCTAAATTTACAGTGGGAAAGGAGGTCTGGTTTAAAGATGTTCTTTGTTTGCTTCCTGTGTTAAACTTTCACAGGCCACACTTTCAAAGATAAATCAGAGAAATCCACCCATGTGGCTGGGATGGTTTTTGGCATGCACTGTTTCCTCTCACCACTGGAAACAAGTCAAACTAAATCTCAAATATCTCATTAGCATAAAGACTTGTTGACTTCCTCTGCTGGAAAATCCACCCTTAAAAGCGCATTTTTCAGCATGCACAATATTTGTCGCTTTGTTGCATGGTGTACACGGTGTTCCTGCAACAAACTCACAGTTAGCATCATTTAACAACAAGTTTATAATATTTCCAGCTTGGTCTTAAAAGCCCAGATTGTTTCAGGCATTAAAAAAAATTGTGTTTTCTTTTAAGCACCGTTTCTTTCTGTGAGTCATCCTAGAAAGGGCACATATTTGAAGATAATTTCTTTACCTTCAACATGCTGGAGTGCAAATCAAGTGTAGAGGACAGAAGGAGGGGATACTCTAGAGACCCAGCCCTTCTGTTGCATTCGGATGCCACTGATGTTATCCTTAATGCAGTTTGCATGGAGATGGACCCAGCAGATACCGGGAAGTCATTATGTGGGGGTGCAGTGGAATAACGTACGACTGTTATTGTGATACAGGCAAATAGCACTCAGCTACACTGAATTCTGTTTGGCTGAGTGCTTCTTGATAATGATATCCATTGTGAGATGAGATTATTTTCAAGATGCATGTATTTCTTATCTAAAACTATATAAATACTTCTGTTAGGTTCTTCATCACTTCATATATTTGTAATTCATTTTTCTCATCCCACAGGAATGCATGGTGGACGAGGACTGTGGCAACCTGAAATACTGCCTGTATGAGATTGAGAACTCCAAATGCCTCCCCTGTATCCCAACAGACATGGTGGGGAGACAGTTAGTGTTGTCTTTTGTGGTTGCGATGAGCTACTATAATCAGTGTCTTTGCTTCAAGTACAGCATCACTAGTCACGATGAACCCACAGACGATTCACACTTCCCCTCTAATCGTTGTATTGCCTTTCAGCTTTCGAGGGAACAACCTTCCAGCTACAGTACAGTGTGACTGGCTGCATGTAAAAGTAATCACCATAACTTAACCTGGTGGTTTCTGGACTGTCAGTCCCATCGGTCTGAAAGCTCAGCTTTAGCCTCCATGTTGTTTTTGTTGAGCTACAAAGGAATTTGGGCAAAAAGAGTGGAGTACAAGTTTATCAGTTATGCTTGAAAGTTCAGTTCAGTCACTCAGATTAGCAGTGCTTGGCTAAAACCTGTCAGTCACAGAGACAACATGGCTAACTTTGTCTCAACATAATACATACAGGGGAAAAAATTAAAATTGAAAAATCACAAACAAACAGTTGTTATCTAGGAGAAACGTCCACAGAAGCTAATTCTGTTCTAAGCTGTAAACATCCTTTATAATGCTGATAAGTTGGACAGCATTGTTACTGTGTTACTGTGCCTCCCTTGTGTCCATTGTGCTACGTATTGATAATCCTTGACTCTACGTTTGTGTATTTCCTGTTTTACTTTGACAGTCTGTGTCCTGTGTCAGTGTATTCTGTTTTCCTTCCTCCCTGTCTGGTCTTGTCTGATTAGTCACAGCTGTGTTCCTCACCTGTTTGCCATTTCCTCCTTTCCCTCTGTGTGTATATATGTTTCCCGCTGTTCCTCATTGGATCATCTGCTTGTTCTTCATGTTCTTTTGTTTAGCTTCTCCCAGTTTAGGTTTTGTTAGTGTTTTCAGTTCCCCTTCCGTTAAATGCTTTACAGTGTTTTTTACAGCCACCAATGAAAGGCTCACTTTCAGTTTAAACCTCCACCTGTTTCTCTACTTGTCTGCACTTGTGTCTGCACCTCTCATCTCCACACAGTCTGCCCTTGCAAACCATGACAATATGGGGACTTATATATTTGAAGCCTCACGTGGCCAATAGAGGAACTGCAATTTCTGCAGTTTTTTTTATTAGAAATATACAGCATAGAAAATATTGGACATAGTTTTAATGTTATGTGCAGTAGACAAAAAGTAGCACTGAACTTGAGTTTAAAGATAATTTGTGTTGAATGTTTGTTTTGAATAAAACATTTTCTATTGTAAAGTGGCAGAAACAAGTATTTAGATCGTTTACATAATACAATCCATAATCTTGGTTAATTAATGGTACCAGTGTTTCTGAAATAAATGATGTATACTACAATATGTGCAATATTTGCTCCTAAATAGCAGATTAGAAGCGGAATGTAGCATAACATAGAAATACCACCCCATGCCCCCCTCTCCACACACCCCTGGACTTGAAAATGTTCAAAAGTAACATAAGTGACATAAAAATGCATCAAGCAAAAAAAAAAAAGTGCCCTTTATGCCGTGATGTAATGCTATCTACATGAATCCAAAAGGATGCACTTGACATACTTTTTTTTAACATATCTGATTGCGTGTCCTCACATAGCCCTGCATCAAGGATGAGGAGTGCTGCTCTGATCAGATGTGTGTTTGGGGCCAGTGCACAGTGAACGCCACCAGTGGAACAGAGGGAACCATCTGTCAGAGTCAGAGTGACTGCAGGCCACACCTCTGCTGTGCTTTCCAACCAGGTAAGTTTCATCTGGGTTGGAACACCAGAGAGACTACCTTAAAGTGCCTAATTGGATCTGTTTGCTATTTTCAAGCAATCTGTAATATGTTATTATCTCAACCTGTAACCAGTTCTAAATGCTTGGTGACAGAATTTAGGAATCAAACATAGTCCAAGACTAACAAAGTCAGAACGGGGATAGTCTAAGTGAGACATTGTGATTTGGACTGACCAGTCAATGACTTAGAAGATTCAATAAAGGCAATTTTAAACTTCATGTATTTTTTTCACTGCTGCTTCCATCAGAGCTTTTGTTTCCAGTATGTAACCCCAAACCGGGCAAGGGGGAGTCCTGTCTAAGCCACCCCAACCTGCTGATGGATATGCTAGCCTGGGACCAGGAGGGTCCCCGTGACCACTGCCCCTGTGCCGATGACCTTCAGTGCCAGCCTCATGGGTGAGACCAAACACAGCAGCACACGTTTACAGTGAAAAAAGAGCAAGTGTAATTTTTTTTTTGCTTGAAATTCACATTTTTCTCTTTTCTTGCAGCCGTGGGTCTGTGTGTGGATAACAGTACTAGAGATTTACAGTGCAGCAGAGTTAGATTAAATGACCTTAACGATCCAAAGACGGACGCCTCTGCTGATCAACAGCTGCTGAAAGTACAGGCTGTTGCTTCAGGACTGAACTTGCACTCACTGTATTATTTATGCCTTACTGCCAGTGTATATTATATATATATTAAAAACAACAACAACAACAATAAATGACTTGTTTTCAGCTTTGAGAACCAAGGAAAGCACGTTCTGTTATTTACTGGTGATCTTATTTTTGGTTTGTCAGCAGTGAACACTAGAGGGCGAACTTTTACACATTTAAAAACTTGGTGGGTATCTCTTTTTGTAATGACCTTTCATTGACATTACTGGAAACTATTAAATGTCAAGAAAATGTGTGAAGGAGAATTAATAAGGAGGAGAATCAGTGAATCAGACTGCATGTGCACTCGGCTCCTTAACCTTGTGATATCTGCTGGACTACAAAATGCACATCGTACTTCAGCCTGACTTTCTGACTCATATTATTTCATGCAGGTCATATAAAAAAGAACCAGAGGTGAAAAATATCACTTACAAATTCAAAAAGTTGGATCCATCTATCCACTTATCCTTTTCAGGGTCCTGGGGGGCGCTGGAGCCTATCCCAGCTGTCTTAGGGCGAGAGGCAGGGTACACCCTGGTCAGGTCACCAGTCTGTCGCAGGCGACCAATCATACTCACATTCACTCCTGCATTCAATCCTATGGGCAATTTTATGTTTTCCAGTTAACCTGTCCCCACTAACTGCATGTCTTTGGACTGTGGGAGGAAGCTGGGGGAGAGCCACGCAAACAAATAAAATAGATCCTGGTTTGTTTGTTTTTTCGTTTGTTTTTGTGTTTTTTGCTGGGAAGGGGATCCAGTATAACTCCTTTCTGTGACTGAAGAAAAATTTCTTCCACTCATCTCTTATCGAGTTCAGGCTGGAGGCTGTCTCATATTACCCAAAGTAAAAAATTAAAAATGATGACTATCCTAAATGCTGGCAAAACAAACAAATGTGCATAAAAATGCAAATTAAACTATAGTTAACTTTAAACAGTTATATAGCTCATAATCTGGATATAAATCTATGTTCTTCATGCAACACAATACCTGGATATGAAGCAGATGTTATTACAGCCGCATAATCAACAGGCTGTTGATCAGGTTATGACATAAAATATTAAATGTAATTTTAATCAACATTTACATGATTTGTCAGTCCTTTTGATAGTTTGTTTTCATTAAAGGGCTGATGGTGTGTTGCTATAAATTATGGATTTAGAAAATTCCAACTGTTGCAATGAATTTGTATGAACAAGATATAATAGTGTAATAAATTGTCAATGTGACAAGATATAATACAGCAGAGGGGGCAAAAGCGCAGACATTTGTCACGTACGTAGCAGAAAAGATGTGTTAAAAATACTCTGGCAAAACTGGGAGTACTAATTCAACTTCTTCAAGGGAAAAAGTGTATTTTAAATTAATAAAACATTCAACTTAAACATCTGTTATATAAAACTCGACCAAAGAAAATAAAGGGAATTTAAAAAGATATATCTATATTTTCTGTTGCCTACATTGTAGAGCGGTGACTCTGCATGCACACCTAAAAACATAGGTTGTAACGGTGCAACATGGGCAAAACACTTACAAAGAAAGATGTCACGCTTTCCATTTATGAGTGTCTGAGCACTTCATCTGTAAGTAGAGCAATATCACCACCTGCTGGTGCTCACAGTCAGACACACACTTTTCCTCTGACCTCATTACAGAAACACTAGAACAGCGATCCCCAACCTTTTTTCCGCCACGGACCTGTTTATGTCCGACAGTTTTTTCACTGACCGGCGTTTAAGGTGTCGCGGATAAATATAACAAAATAAAACCGGTACCAAAACCAAAGAATGTTTATTCATATCACACGGGAAAATCATAAATTTCACACCCGAGCTTAAGTTATCGCAGGCCGGAGTTCTGGGAATCCATCCTACCTGGAAAAACATTCTACCCAATGTTTCTGCGCAGACGCGGCGCATGCGCACAACACCAACGCCAAATAACAGCGGTACCAAACGACTCACGGACCGTTTTTTGTTTTTTTTAATCTTCGTCCTGTATTTAATAAATTCAAAATGAAGTAAAATCGCTAAATAAGGCAATATTTTAATTAGGAAAAAAGTGCATTTATGTCAGTCATCCGGAAATATAGTCTTTTAATTCACCCGTTTCCTTACATTATATTGTTAAACTGTTTTAAAATCCAATGACTTGAATCCCAAAAGACTTACTGGTGAAAACTTCTTTGATTGCCCATGCCAAATCATAATATTACAAAAAGGGAAAAAATAACACTGTTTGTTATTTAAGGATCACCAAGATTACAAACGTGCTAAAAAATAAAGCTAAGCAGTGCTACATGATCAAAAATACAACTACAAATCTAATCGTGAAGAAGAGAAGCGTTGATTAATAAAAAATTTTTTTTTTAAAAGTCATTTTGACTCAAACCTGAGCCCACCTCTGTTTGCAGCTATTTATCTTTAGCTCATGTTGATTTTAGTCTAAACTCTAGCTCATATGTACAACAGTTACATTTACATCTGCAACACAAGAATTTCACTTCTACTTGAGCATTGCTTTTTTAAATCCAGAAGAATATTGAAATCATCCTCCAGAATTTTTAAATATAGTTAGTAGTGTCAGACCAGTTTTGATGTTTTGGTCTCCCTGTTTTTCGTTGATTTTTTTTTTTCCATCAGGATTTGGCAGTCACTGAACCAAGCAGAGGAGATAGCACAAACTGCATGGCAGCAGAAGCAGTAGCTGCATAGCTGGCCCCTGGTTTGTTCCCTGTTTTGGCTGTTAAAAAAAGAAAATGAAGATATCCAGTAATATCTGAAAATAGCCTTGTTTATTCCTTTAAAAAAAAAAAACAAGTTAGAATGTGTCACAGCTTTTCACCTTAAATTGATTTCATACCACTGTCAGTACTATATATCACTTTAATTTCCCCTTTAAGTTTATATCCTGTTTCTAATGTTTGTAGTGTGGAAGCCTCTGTCATCTGCTGTTGATGAACTGTATGAAGGTGTTTGACGGATCGGATGGCATAAACAGGCATTTGAGATCATGTCTGAGGGGTCTCCGGGAGTGGAAGAATTCATGAAAGTTAATGTTTCTCATTCCATTCAAACTGTTTTTGGTAGAAAATATAAACATAGTTTTGCAACAGTAATTTATTACTAACATGCATTATTGTCTAAATTGGTGCATGTGTCTGCTGTCACTAATACCCCAGAGCATACAGTTCATTCTATACAGGAAAAATAAGTAGACAATAAATAAATCATCCATGCCATCAACACACAGCAGTGTAAGAGTGTAATTACTGACTCCTTCTTCACAGTCAAGACGACCCGTTGTTAGACTGGCTGTCTCCATCAGTCTATATGTCTGTGTCTCTGTAGTTTACCTCTGCAGGCTGTTTCTCCAGCCTTTCTGATTCTCACTTTTCCAAGTATTTTTGATGTATTTATTAATTATGCTATGATTCTTTTAGTGCAGTTCTGTTATGAAGTCAAAAGGTAATGTTTTAAAACTGAGGTGATGAGCAAGAGGCAGATCTGACTGAGAAACTCAATTACAAGTATACTGCACACTCAAAGGTTACCAGCATGGGAATTATACAGTAAAGCCCTCTTCATTTAAAAAATGAACATCTTAAATTTAAATTTAACTTAACACTAGTGATTGAGCTTATGACGTCATCAGGAAAGTGTTTCAGCTTCTATACAGCTTTCTTTTTGTAACTCCACAAGTCGCCCTCTGCTGGCCATAAAAAAGAAAGCAAGTATAATAGACTGCATTCTTTCTCGGAGCCTCGGTGTCCTTTTGGTGTATCACCTCCTCCCTCCTGGCACACAGCTTCTTCTTCTTCTTCTTCTTCTTCTTCTTGGTTGGCAACCAATGTTAAGGCGCATTACCGCCCCCTGGCTCACAGCTCAGTGCACATTTAGATGAGAAAATATATATTTGACACATTTAAGGAAAATACTAATGAAATAAAATAAAAATGTTCCCTTTAGATTTTTTTTGCTCTATAAAATAGTTGTTTTCTTTTACAATCATTCATCTTAGCAGTAGGATTTACATTAAAAGAGAAACAAATTAAGTTTGAGTGAAAATATACATTTTTGCACTCTCTGGTCAACTGACTCATTGACTCAAATGACTCAAGGAAAACCGATTCACTTTGGTGAGTGACTCATTAAAACGCGATTCAGTAAAAAGAATCGAATTTACCATCACTAGCACATAAATAAGTTACATAATATTCAGTACTTACTTTTAAAAGTTTACTCTTTGGCCTCTCCGATTCAGCCGTTTTTTTCGGCAAAATTATCCACACCCACCGCAGCGCTATGAAGTCTACACCGCCACATCCTTAAAATTCAGGGAAATGAAGGATACATTTGAGGGCTGCATTTCGAGCAGCCTTCGTCGCGTCGCAGTGACGTAATCGGCCTTAAAATGCGGCCTTTAAGGCTGCAGACCCTGAATTGGGATACAACCTGTGTTTCCTGCACCCTCTGTACTACTTGAACGTCATCTTCAAGAATGTCTCAATTCCAGAAAATAGTTACTCCATATTAAATTAACTACTTCTGAAAGGTGGGTTGTATAGTGTATATAGTATATTATATAAATGGGTCCAGCTCTTTTTCTTTTTTTTACCTTCATAACTTTTGAAGTACAGGAGACACCCACCTGAAAAAAGCCACAATCTTCTTTTGCACAATTAGTTTCATTATCATAGTTTCAAGTGTTACGAAATCAGTTTTACCCCGGTTCTTTTTATTCCTCAGGCATCCAGAGACGGCACCGGAACTCAGTAATTATTTCACAAAACCTTTATTCATCTTTATTCATCTTCATTTAAGCATGCATCTTCTAGAAGGGAAGACGTGCAAGGCCGGTGTCCCTCTGCAAATCTTCCACCTCTTTGTAAGTTACAGCCAGCTTTATAGAAGTGACCCCATCATAAAACCCCCATGGTGTGCTGCAAACTCTGTGTGTCTGTGTGTATGCACGAGCACGTGAGTGCCTGTGTGTGTGCGTACCCGTGTGTATGTGTGTGCACGTGAGTGAGTGTGCATGTGGGTGTGGGTGCGTAACAGTTAAAGCACAGTGTGTGTGTGTGTGTGTGTGTGTGTGTGTGTGTGTGTGTGTGTGTGTGTGTGTGTGTGTGTGTGTGACTTCCTGCCGGTCAAAAGTAATCTCCTCACCCAAGCTACACCAGGTTCCTTTAGACAACAAACAAAACAAGTTAACATATTACAAACACTGAGACCCCCACTCTGCCTCCACTGGGCCATTGGCCTCTTGTTGTTTTACATTTACAGATAAGCATGTGGAGAGTCTCCTGCAAACCTACTTCTAAGTTATAACAATTATGCATTTTTATTAAAGGTACAAGCATCAGCATCAGCAACCCCCAACTGTAGCTTCCTGTCTCCTTTTATGACACCAGACCCCCAGTGTCCATAAATTCCTTTCTCTCTAAACAATTTCACACACTCTCAGGCCTACAGCTAAGCCAAACTAAAACACAGATCCTTCCTTATTCCTGTGATCTAAACAAATTTAACACATCATATTATAATAATTATTTTCTTGTACTCACACAAGTAACAATACTGCACCAACTTAATGTCTGTGATTTAGAGTAAGAGGAACAATCAGTGGTATACTGAGTCCCATGTCATTCCCCAATTCGTTACTGGACCAAATGCACTTTAGGAATTGAAATGTCCTTCAAAATGTGTAATGAAATGTGTTTTCGGATTACGGTGAGAAGAACGGAGGAGAGAGGAGGCAGAAATGAGAGAAATAGGAAAATCCCTTAGGTTAAGTAATTCCTTTTGTTCTGTTCCCCTCTTTTGGTGTCTCTTGCTCACCTTTTTACATCTGCATTTTGGTGTGGTGTCTGGACTCCAGGATCTACAAACTTTGTTTCAATAAAATTTATTTCAGGCTGTTAAGAAAGACCAAACATAACAAAACAGAATCAAATAATTGAAATGAAGCTTCGTGATAAACAAACAAGAAAAATTGAGTCATAAATTTACATTTGTGGTTGTGGAGCTTGAGAAGGACTTGATATGTCACATCAAGTTAAGCCACCGTCTTAAGCAAATATTTCTGTAGTAAATGAAAATTTCAGAGAAAAAAAATTAATAAAAAGTACATTAATGTTTTTTCTAAAATGATGAAAAATTATTCAATTAAATGGGATTTTTTTCTGAACACTAGTTACGGAGCAGAATAACCTCCAGGACAACCTGTGAAATGAGAAGAGAGGTTAGGTTCGTCACGAAGTGGGAGGGCGCAGTGGACGGATTGGACTCGGGCCTACGGCTCACACACGGCTAGCGTCTGCGTTCCCTTCATCTCCGACCGTCATTGGCTAATGAGCACGTCGGTCATTGTTTCCCAGCCTGAACTCGCGTCTGATTGGCTGACAGGACACCTACGACGGTAGGGCAAACGCTATTGGTTGAAAAACTAGGTTAGTGGTCCGACAGGCATGACGGTGAAGAGAAACTGGGTCACCGATTGAAAATCGTTTATGTCACACTTCTGTGTGTTGCTATTACATATTACCAGCGGCGTTCAATGGATGGATTAGTCCCCCTGGATCTTTTGTAAGTATAACACAAGAACGAGGATATGTTTGTTGACGCCGCGTCTGTGTGACTTTGCTGGGCTTCAGTCTGTGATGGATATCGTCGATGTTTTCCCAGCGCTGTGGTCATGTCAGTGTGGTTTTCTAGAGCAGGAGGAGGGACTTTAGCTTTGCTGGCCAAGTCTTGACAGTCAGTAGCTAGCAGTGAGCTGTATGCTAATGTTAGCAGACGGGGGAGAAATGCCGTTATGGTCAAAAAGTGCGGAAAACGCCTTTAGTTTGGCGGGGTTGGTTTAAGTGGTGCCAGGAATCGCCGGGACTTAGAGGAAGCTCGGGCGTGGGTAAGTGCCGGTCAGTGGCTTTCAGTTTATTAACTGAACGTGACCCAAGTGAGTAAAGCTCCAGTGCTAGCGCATTAGCTGTGTAAAACGGGCCTTGGTGGGTATACTCAGCAGCATCTATCCTGCTCCGGTAACTTCAAAGCCTCCATTGCTTGTCTCTTTAAAAGGCCTCAACGGTACTGTGCTATTCTTCTATTTATTTGGAGACCTGTGCTTGTCTTAAGTATCGCGACGGTGTATGCACTTGCTGTGGAAATGTGGCCACCGCTAGGTGTCTCTGCTGTGGTTGATCAAAGACTATTTGATTGGGTTGTGGTTATACTGTGCATGTAATTAGTGTATTATTGAAGCAGGAGGATATGGGGTGTGATAGATAATATAAAATCCGAAACAAAACCTAACCAAACCGCTCGAAAGCTGAGTGAGTGACGATTTTAGTTGTTTGTTGTTACACATCTTGGGCATCATAAAGGGTGGACGTGGCTTAAAAGTGAAACAAGTGCAGAAGGCCTAATACCCAGGGATGTCAGCTGGCAAGGCTAATGAGCACCAGAGGGCGATACCTGTGGTTGTAGAAAAGCCTTCCTGTCCTGTATAAGTCTATGGGAAAACAGCCCTCTGCCCTGGCATCAATAAACACTTTCCTTATGTGTTTATGGGCACAGCAACTAATTTCAGGTCACATTGAGTAAGACGTCACATACATTTTCTAATGTACTGTCATTATTAGAGACAGACAGGAGGATTAGGTGTTAGCCAATGAGCATGCAGGTCTCCTTGCATGTCATACCTGGTTTCAGGCGGGTCCTGCTGAGGACCAGCTGGTTTTGACTGGGAGGATATGAAATGGTCTTGAGCAGGATAGGAAACAGTTGGTTGTCACTGTTGATTCATCATCTGAGTCACTCTCACCACACTGAAGCCTTTTTTTAGTACACAGGGTTTATGGATCTATTTGGGGATACATCATATTAAACCTTTGGACGTTGTGTTAAAGGCAGTTTGCTGTTAATCTTTTTTTTTTGTTGGATTACTGTCTCGTGTGTTAGTTTGACAGGTGCACCTTGTGTTTTTGTAGTTTCTCATGCCTGCCTTGAGTAGATTATCCATTAACTGTTTCACCACATGAAAGGCACTTGCTGTGAACTTCAGACTGTGTCTTTGTTTTTGTTTCTAGCCAGGTAGCAACCTATATCAGATCTTATCAGTACGGATCTATGTAGCCACAAAGACATTTTTACAGCAGACATTTGTTGTGATGACTCAGAAGGGTTGCAGTTAACCATCCTGTTGATCATGAAGGCCAGATGACAAACTTCTGGTTTCTATGAGGAAACTGTATGATATAAAACGTTATAGAGAAAAAGATCCTTGTCATGACTATGTGGATGCTAATTTAGATTAACTAGAGATCATTCTAAGTAATTATGTGAGAGAGACTGTCACACTAAAAGTTTCTTGTATTAAAATGTATGTGGAAAATTCTTCAATGCCTAATATTGTGGTAGAAGTATAACGTTAGTGGGGGAAAAGCTTTTTAAAACCTTATTTTAGGGCAACCTTAGTAAACTTATTAAACATATTTTTTTTAATGAGATTTAAGTTGTGATCCTACACATGTAGCTGTTATTTCCTGTTAACCATTGTAATGAATATTCATTTGGATAATTCTTCAACATAAGAGCCCACAAGTGCTCAAGGAAAGTTCCAATTGGTGAGGCTTGCTTAAATGAGATTACGGGACACAGTTTATTTAGAGGTGAATGTATGAGAGCTACTGAAAATGTCCTTCTTAAGGGGTGAATAGCATTGTCAGTAATGAATAATAATAAATAAAGGACATGGCATGGAGGTGTAGTTTGTAGCGCTGATGCCTCACAACAAAGTTTGGATCTTCTGATCTGCTGAGGTCTTTCTTTGTGGAGTTTACACATTCTTTATGTGCCTACATGGGCTTCTTCTGGGTACTCCCACTTCTTCCCAAAGTCCAAAGATATGCATGTTGAGTTTACTTGTGACTGCAGGTGAGAGATTGTGTGGTTGTCTATCTCTGTGTCGGCCCTGTGATGGTCTGGCAACCTGTACAGTGTGTGTACCCGGCCTCTGATCTTATGATAGCTCCACCGCATTTCCCTAAGTAGGATAAGCAGTTAAGAAAATGGATGGATGTAACCAAGGCACCCTGCCAAGTTTAATAAAGATGCCTCCTGTCTAATTCCCAATAGGAGATGTTGGCCACAGTGACTGGCCATATGCTTTGGCCGGACAAACCTAACGAGCCATGCCATTGACTAAACAGAGAGGTTCCACATCCATCAGGAAACCCTTGCATGTAACTAAGAAGATACGATGCTTGACACTTACTTATTTCTCCCCTGTAAGCTTCTGTGGTTTAAAAAAGGGAAAAGGTAAAGAATTGTTGGGGTTGAAAGGAAAATTGATCAATAAATGTGTTTATCTAAATAAAAAGACACAAGTAGAGATAACAAGCCAAAAGATTTTAACTCGTGTAAATACAATAAATAAATAAATAAAAAAACAATTTTTTCCATTGTACTTCAAATAATGCATTTTAATGTAATTTTTTCCTGATATTAAATAAATTAAAATCTAATTTCTCTAAAAACAAAATGTTCTCAGGTGTATGTTTAAGTATGTTTAAAAGGAAACTTAACCTTATCCTTGGCTGGACTAATTTTGGTCTCCAAATATGCAGGTTTTTCAGGCCTGTATATTATCAGGCCTGATTGGTCAATTTTCCTGAAATCCCAAGGATTCTTTCTGCACATATTGCTCATTATTCCCCATTGCATATAGATTGCATAAGGGATTCGAAGCATCCATCCATGCATCGATCTTCTTATGCTTGTCCAGATCAGAATCACAAGGGTGTTGGAAGTCTAACCCAGCTGTCCTATTCTATACACCATACATTTATTCTGCTGGCATACACAACACAAAGTGGGACATGTATTTAGTGTTTATAAAGGGAGCTACTTCAACAAGCTCCACCAAAAATGCCAGCTTATAAATATGCAAAACAATAAGCAAGAAAACAGTTTCCACTACATGTGGAAACAAGAAACGTGTTTACCACCTTAAACAGGCCGTTGAGTACAACTGTGAAATTGAGGTATACAAGAAGGGGTTGCTAGGTGGATGGAAATTATTTACTGCTTTTGTACTCAAAATTGACTTACAGTCACAAGTGGAAAAAATAAAGTACACCCTCTTTTCAATTCTCAAGTTAGGGAGATAATAAACAATCATCTGGTCCTCATCAACTTCTAAAAATTTTTAAATACAGTTTGTGTTGAGGAACAACTCACAACATATTGCACTGTCATTTGTTTAACAAAAATTAAAGTAAAAACTGAGTATACCCCATGGTTCAGTAGCTTGTTGGGACAGATGGCCTCACATTGGGCTCAAGAATACTTTGCTTACAAAGGAGCTCGTGGTTGCCTTAATTACTGCAAGGTGCCCACATCATCACCCCTTCAGGTATGAGGTGTTTGTGCCGATATGCTGTGGTTTGGTTTTGACAAACGTGGTGCTGTGGATTTTGCCCAGACATTTTCAATGTCCAATGAACATTGTTCCAGAAGTCATGTGGTTTGCTCAGATGTAATTTTGCTAATCTAAGTCATTTGCCATGTTCTTCTTAGAGAGATTAGGTGTTTGAAAACCCTTTAAAATAAGCTGTATTTGTTCAGTCTTTCTAATTTTACTGTTATGAATTTTAACATTTAACTGTTAACTGAGAAGTTTCTCTGACTTTGGGGTGAATTGGCTTGGACGACCACTTTTGTGAAGATTTTATGAATGTTTTCCTCTTGTGAATAACTTTGTCAAATAAAATGATGGACACTGTATTGTTTAGTAGAGCTGCCACAAACGATTATTTTGATAGTCGACTAGTCACCGATTATTTTTGCGATTAGTCGACTAATCAGATCATGCATCCATTGGACGTAAAACATACAGCTTATTGCACCAGCATGCGTCTGCTCTTATATAACTATCATTAGCTGACAGCTTGAAGTGTTTAATGTATGTGATAACTAAAAATAAAGACAAGATGACAGTTTATTAAACTTTTAATGAATTTTTCAGATTGTCTCGGTGGAGTTTAATAAACTCGGCCATCTCTTCTTTCTATGTGAAATATAACAGGACACTGGAGTAAATTCTCTACCATTTCACACTTCTGTTTAATCAGTTCTCTGTTTGACGTTTATTCAGCTGTGTAAAAACTATAACTTTAATCTCAGCCAAACCGATTTACTGAGGAACAAATAAAACATAAAAAAAAAAGCCAAACAATAACATTTTTAAATTATCTGAGTGGCTTTTATATCATGTTTAACCTGAGTAGCGAAAGACTGCGGCGGGTTTGAAAATGATGTCCCGGGAGTTTGCCGTTCTCACCGGCTCTAGTGAGCCTTGAACCCTCTAGTTATCGAGCTGGTGGGTAACAGACGTCTCCGAAAACGTCGGAGCACTTTTGCAAAAGTGTGATGTCTTGATAAACCGAGCAGATATTTGAAGCTACACAGCTACATTCTCGCCTGAAAATATGTTAAAAGTTTATTTTGTGACCCAGAAATAGTAATAAGAGTAATATTAAAACTAAGTAGCTGCCGCCATTGTTGAAAACTGGAATTGGCTGGGCCACGCTATGAATTCTGGAATAGTTTGGGCCACGAAGGATACACCCGACCCATCCTTCAAATCTGGGGAAATGAAGGATGCATTTTTCAGCCACGTTTGGGGAAATCTTCAAATTTGGACAGGCTTCGCCACGTCGCTGTAACGTAATTGGCCTACAAATGCGGCCTCCGAAGGATGCGGCCGCTAAATTTGGACACAGCTATGAAACCAGACACTGCTGCTTCTTCTTTGGGGTTTAACGGCAGCTGGCATCCCTGGACATGCAGTGCTGCCATCTGCTGTTTCAGTCTGTTATTACACTCTTAAATCCTACTACTTATTCCTGCGTCTTTCAGGATCTTACAAAGCTTCAAACGACACATCCACGATTTTAATAGTCGACGTAATCGTGGCAGTCCTGTTGTTTAGTAATGGCCTTTCTATTTATTACTTTGTATTGTAATAAATAAATATAATGTCATGGCCATCTGTAATAATTACCTGCCTTCTGTCAAAGTAGATTTCAGATATCATGGCAACAAGAAAAGCAAAGATTTAAAACTGGTGTCTGGGGCTGCTGGTGCTGTCATATCATTGTGATGGGTCTTGATGGATGGGGTCTATTATTACTATGAGGAAAGAGGATCGGTGCTTATTGTGTCACTCAAAAGTGAAAGTTGGTTTCGCTCTTGTCGCTGCACATGTTGTTTGTCGCCACCAGCACTGGCTTGAGTGATTGCATAATCTCTTTGCCATTTGAGATGTCTCTCAGTTAAGGTGCAGTTATTGACACTCGCTCTATGTAACAACAGACTGGGCACTATGTGACGTTTTCCCTGTTGAACACTCTCCAGCTGTAGAGTATTAATTCATTACTTTTTCCATCATAAGCTTATGCCTTTGTATTTGAATAACAGCAGCAATGACTGCTATGTTACTCAGCACAAGAACAGAATATATACATTTCTGCATTTTCTAGCCACTCGTCTCAGAACACAAAAAGCAGTGTGTGCACAGCATTGTCATGAGTGCCGCCATCAACCGAGGTTGGACTTGTTGGCATGCCGGATGCCTGCATGAGTGTCCCAGCTGGATCAGCAGCCATGCATATCCATGAGAGCACAATCTGTGATCTGATTGTTCGCAATGGAAATGCTCCAACCTGTACTCGCCTGGACAGGGCGCAATCTCATGCTGCCAGAGAAGCACAGGTCTTTCTAGATAACAAGCATATCCAGACACTTACTTGGACCTGTTGCCCTGAATCTGAGATTATAATTTCCACATACAGCGCTGCTAGGGTCTTCTTGGGTCAGCAATGTTGAGCCCTGAGACTTGACAACCAGACTTTACTTCCTTGTCAGTGCTTAAATTTAAATCGGTTGTTTATCATTTGTTTAGAAATGTAGCTGGGATTGTTATCGTTTGGCAAGACCTGCCCAGTGATGATGAAAAACTCAAACTCGGCACACAGTTAGTTCTTGGCTGTAAAAAGCTGAATGTGAGCACACTGCACTCAATCTATGCAGTAAACCCTTTCACATCCTTGCAGACAGGCTGCTACACCCTGACTGCTGCAACAATACAAACCCCAACTATGCACGTAAGATTTGGTGACCTCACGTAGAGAAATTCCCAGAATAGCTCCACCCACGAATAGAATTAAAAGAAAACACCTGTGTGAGTGTGCAGGGACTTAAAGTCTGACATAGTTGTACCTGTATATCAGGTTGTTTTACAGGTCAACTTATTGTAGTCTCTTGCATATTTCAGAATTGCCTGTATTGTGATGTTTGTCCAAAAGGTTTGCATTGTACTGTGAGTTTTATTTTTTATTTTTTAATTAAATTGGTCATTCAAAAGGGGCACATTTAAAGCTTTATGAGTTTAAAAGTCACCAGTTAAGAGTTAATGCTGAGTGAAATCACATTACAAGTACCCACAGAATTATGTCATGCTTGCAGATTCCATCTGTGGAGCTCTGAAAGCTGTAATAATTTTTTAAATTTTTTTTTAAATGACTCATGTTGGGGTTGAAACTATTAAATCTCACAGGAAGCTGGATATAATAGCAGTCGTTAAAATATTCCATTTTATTTCACTGACCAGAGGTCTTTGCACAAGCCAGTGTACAGTTTTGATATTTCTGGGTAAGAGAAGATGAGAGTGCAAGGGTTTCGGTTCATCCCTGTTTGAAGCATCGAGTATTAATTTGTAGTGTATTTGATATTTGTAAAATCTTTTCACATCTTTACAAAAACGTTCCATCACTGGCCATGGTGGAAGTATTTGGGAGATTTGGCAGCTGACTTGCCGGCTGGATGCGTCTTTCGTGTATGAACGGGCTTTCTGCCTGCTTCCTGCCTGTCTGAGTGGGTGTTTCCCTGTTCAACAGGGAATCAAAGCAGAATGCCTTGCTGACTCACTGATGAAGTAGAAGTAGGTGGTGGATGGAAATCGAGGCTGGCTGGTTAGAGACCATAGAGATTGGCTGACCCACTTTTTACTCCAGCACCAGTTCCTTTCAGTGCTCAATCATGACATAGTGGTTTTCCCCTTCTAGCCCAGGGCTTTGTCCCAATAAAAGAGCTCACCAAACTCGTCCTGACCTAGTACTCTCCTGCCTGCATCTTGAGTTTCACATTGTGTTGTTACTGAAAATTAGATAGTTGTTTTATGAACCCGATCGGCACTCATTCTACATCTATCTTCATCTACTTTTTCTAATAAAGGTTCATTAATATTACACTCTTAAGATTGGAATTGATGGATACACCTGTTAACTAAAGCTGAAAAAATCTTCCTCCATAACTTGTCTCTGCACACAGACGTCATTTTGACATTTTCATAAATGTAAAGTAGAATCTTTACCCAGTTACTCCTCACATTTCTATAGCACAGTGGGAACAGCTGGGTAGCTCACCGTGTTGGAAAATACTTTTTCTTAAATCTCATACAGATCTATGTTGGCAGCCGTGTTGCCACCTTGATGTGCTGCGCTTCTCCCATCTCCATCACTCAGGCATTTTCTGAAGCAATGTATCCAGTTAATATAAAGCTACTGACAATGAAACTGAGCTTGAATCTGTGCAGGAGATATACTCCAAAAAGTGATTCATTAATTTGCTGGGACTAATGAGTAAATATTTTGCAGAATGTGACTTGTAGTTGGCTTTTATCTCGTACCAGAATGAATGTTTAGCCCTGGATTTTGAGTGTGTTACTTGAATACATTTTGCTTACATTTAGAGATTGGCGACAGATTGATTTTGCACCTGACTCATAGATTTCTCTTCATCCCCCTGCAGATGTAGACGGGCCCCAGCTGCTTAAGGATCTGATCATATGAGGGGAGACCACTTCAAAGTGGATGAAACTAGGTCAGGCTGAATCAAACCAGACTCAGACCAGATCACAACCGAGCAGACCAGATTGATTCAGACGATACCAGGCCCCTCCAGGAAGCCTGTTCCAGTTTCCTGTCCAGGTAACTGAAGCCGCTCTGCACGCCATCTGTAGGAGGTGCCTACTCATATTTCAGAGATGTGAATTTGAACCAAGGAGTCCTCCTTCACAGTGCGAGAAATAATTAACATATTTGAAAACTAGGCCAGCATTTGCTTTGGAATAAGTGTGACATTAAAAATGTGATATTTATGTATTTTTATTTCCATGTAATATTTGTAGTGTTTGGTTCAATTTAAGTTATCAGTGAACTTATGTATTAATACACCTCTGTTATATTTGCTTACACAATTTAAGGACTAAATCTGGTTTTAAAGGAGTCATGTTTTCAGAGCAGTGACATGTTGCATGCATCTGATTCTGGCTGACTGCTGTTTAACTTTATCAGCATTCACCCCAGAAAAAAGGCTCACCGCCTCCACATGCTGCTGACATTTTTAGCATCTTATATAAAAACAGCACTCCCATTGCAAAAAATTTAAATGGTATGCTTGGCCTTGAACAAGTGGTTTAGTGCACACACCTGCTTGCGGTTGAGTGAATAGATAATGGCATCGAATATCTAGTTTTTTTGTCTTTGTTTTGTTCTTGTTTCGTATCCTGAACTCCTGAATGACGAGGTGATGCCTACTTCCTTTTTTTTTTGTGGTGTTGAGTTGCAGTGAGAGAGAGAGATTCCTCTTTACTTCTCTTTTCTGTCCTCTATTTCACCTGACCTCTCCACTCCCTGAGCCTGGTTGTGCTGGAGGTCTCTTCCTGTCAAAGGAGTTCTTTGACAGGCGTTCTTTAACCGTACGGGATGATCTGATCTTTGGGTTTCTCTTTGCTTTTCTCTAGTCTTTAGCTTACAGTATAAAGCTCTTCGAGGCAAATATTGTTTTGACCTGGAGCTGTATGAATAGTGCATTTACTTGGCAAACTCATTCAATAGCAAAGGTTTGTTCGTTTAGAGCACGTGTCCCGTGAGAATATTTTTTTATAGATGTACTATTATTGTTATGCATGGCCCGGCAATATGAGGTGCTAATGATATACAAACTACAGATTCCATAATGCAGCACTGCAGCCTCCTTGCTGAACGCTAGGCTAACTGGGAACATTCCCGCCTCAAACAAGTCAAACTTCTGTTATTGCGAAGCTAGCCGCTCACAATGGTGGAGAGAAAAGTTGATTCTGAAAGCAGAGCCTTTCAGCGCCAGTGGGTGACTGAATATATGTTTACAGACATGCTGGTAAACCCGTGTGTCTTATTAGTGGAGCTAATGTGGCTGTAATTAAGGAATTTAATTTAAGACGGCACTACGAGACAAAACGTCAGGATAGCTGAAAAACCTAAACGCAGAGCAGAAACTACAGAAAGTAGAAGAGCTAAAGAAGAATCTGACATTTCAGCAGACGTTTTTCACCAGAGCAAAATCACAAAGTGAAGCTGTTGTGAAAGCAAGTTTTATTGTAGCACAGGAGCCAAATTAGCCCGGTACCACTCTGAAGAGCTGCATGATGAAGCTGTGCGACGTCTTGTGTCCAGACAAAACGCAGATTTTGGCAAATGTGAGCCTGAGGAGAAATACGATTGCTGATCGGGTTTGTGAGATGGCCACTGATTTAAGAACACAGTTGTGTGAAAGAAGCAAAAACTTTATCGCATACTCTCTTGCTGTGGATGAAAGTACAGACATGATGGACATTGCACAGCTGATTGCACAGCTGGCCATCTTCATCCTTGGAGAGGAAATATTGAACATTAAATCGATGCACAGGACAACGACAGGGAAAGACATTTTTTAAAACGTATGTTAAAGTGTAACCGACATGAAACTGCCCTGGGACAAACTTGTTGGACTTACAACAGATGGTGCGCCGGTGTTGTGCGGTGAAAAAAGCAACTGGTCAGCAGGTTGTGAGTAAAGATGCAGGAGGAGAACTGTACCGGTGAGTTAACAGCATATCACTACATCATACACCAGGAAACGCTGTGTGGTAAAGTCCTAAAAATGGAGCATGTAATGATCACCGTAACGTAAACCGTAAATTTTATCTGAGCTAAAAGTTTAAATCACCGTCAATGTCAGTCTTTTATGTGGGAAATAGATTCAGAGTTTGCCGACATGCCATCATACAGAGGTCGGTTGGCTGAGTTGGGATAAAAATTCTCAATAGAGTTTTTGAGCTCAGCAAGGAAATCTGTCAGTTCATGGACATGGCATGTATGATGCGGTGAAGGCATTTCAAGTGAAGCTGTCACAAATGCACCAGTGCAACCTGCCTCACTTTCCCTGTTGCCAAGTAATGTTGAACCAAGTCAGCGGACTTTGCTGAACTGCACCTGTGCAGATTCAGATGGAGCTGCAGTGTAATGATACACTCAAGGGAAAGTACGACACTGAATGGCCCGCACAGTTTATTATTTCCATTCCTGAAGCAATGCCTCAGCTCCATCTACATGCGGCTCCAACCTTGTGTATGCTTTCATTTATTTTTTCTGGGGTTTTTGGCAGCATGTTCATATTTCTAACTTGCATAATTTTGACAAGATATATTTTTATGAAGAGCAAAATATTTAAAGTTAAAGTTTATTTTTTTTTAAGTTTATTTAATCTGGAATAATATTCCTGTCTGTTTTTATTCATATTTATGTTTAAAAAAACATAAACATGTTCAATAAATGTTTATCTTGTTTGGCCCGCGACCTAAAGTGTGCCTTGAGTTTTGGCCCCCTGTGCAATTGAGTTTGACACCCCTGGTTTAGAGGCTTCACAGTAAATACATTTGCTTATATTGTTTTTTTTTTGGGGGGGGGTTCACCCATTCCTCTGAAACATTAGTGTGGCTCTTGATGAGTCATGCCACCTGTTTGCGCATGCATGTGCTCGAAAACTCTAATCGAAACCTTTACAGAAAATGACTGAATAATTAAGCAAGAACTCTTGTTAACGACAGGCCTTCTTCAGTCAGCTCAGAGTCACTTGGGAAGGTTTCATCATCTCTGAAGTTTAAACACTTGCCAGGGTTGTAGTTGGCGAATTGGAATGCACATGGCACATCTCAACCAGTCTGATTTATGTGTCATGTAACTGATACGGTGCGACCTAAATAGCTTACAGTATTTCAATACATGCAGTTGTAATAGTGGCTTCCTGTTTATTGCGCCTGCACACTTGACCCAGATGACACGATGTTTGCTGCATGTGTCCAGGCAACAGTTACTCTGTCTGTATTTTCTTTGTTTTGGGATTTCTTTGTTTTTGTCTTTGCAGATTCTCAGAATGATTCCATCTTAAAGTGTTGCTTTTGTGTGTTCACAGTTGAGGGCTCCAGAGTGGATGGAAGGAGATGATTTTAACACACAGGCTGTGATGAACATCTGTGGTGAGTTTGGCCCTTCCTAAAAAATAAATTAGTATTTCCCTCTGTGCATCTCTCAATTAAGTGTGCACGCTTTATTGAAAAAAAGGTCTGTGCAGATAGTCACCTCCGTTTCTCACAACTACAGTATTTCCGCTTTGATCTTGACCTCAGACCTTTTATAGTGATTTCTTGTCAGCACGGATAATATGAGTAATCCCGCACATGTCGCGCTTATTATTTGTCAGTTCATTTACATACTTAGACCCAGTAGTTTCGGTCTATGCATGCATATGCATGCGACATTTGTGTGACTGTCTGCTCTGTGTTGCTTATTTTCTTCTGCAAAGAAACAGTGGATTGTTTCTTTTATTTTAGCTTCTAATACACACAGACGCCTGCATTGCAGCTATTTCTTAAAAGAGAGGGTTTAATCACCAAAAGACTGAATAACAAGGTTGCACACGGGTCTGTTGAAATCTGGCACAAGAGCCTTTTTAGATTTGCAAATGGATTTTTATATTTCTGGGGAAATATTCGTCCTTATGTTGCAGCTGTCATTTAGCAAGAATGTGTTTGTGTATGAACCGTAGGATCCATTCATTTTCTATTAGTAAAGTAGACCTGTCTTAAAAATATTTAAAAATTTAGTTCACGAACCACAGAAAACATCTTTAAGGCAGCAAACCTGTTTCATAATTACCTGCCTTCGTCTATGAATAAACATTTTTTCTTCCTCCTACGATTGAAGCAATTTCTCAGCGTTTGTCAGTGCTGTTACGCTGACGTTACCTCGCCATGATTTACATTTAATGAACAATTCTGGATATTAATGAGGTGAAATTTTCACACTTTGCAGTGCCATCCAGGGAACCATAGTGGATGTTTTTGCTGGCCGGTTCTGTCCTCTGAGCAGCTTGTTTAACGCCCCCTGGTTAATACATTTACGTGTCAGATTAGCGTCAGCTCGGTTATTCATGTAATTGTGCTACATTGTCAAAACAGCAGCTGATACGTTTGTTTAGCTGTTGAACTAATCTGGCAATCATGACAGTTGCTGGTTTATTGTGCTGTATTTGAAACTGCTGGATAGTCCTTTTGGATTTTTGAAATGTGTGCCAGAGGCATCATCCATCTGGTTTGCTGTCTACAACAACAGACTGTGGTTTAAGAATCTTTACACCAATAAAACAATATATAGGTCCCCTTTAAATATGTGCATTTGTCCTTCAATTTAAAAAAAATAAATAAGTGAATAAAATAACATTTATCGTACTTGGTCAAACTGCAAGAGCTTTATATAGCCGCAATGATGTCTCATACAGGAGTGGGAGCTTTTGTTTTACTTTTTGCTATGAATATGAGTTATAGACTCACACAGCCACCAACTCGTTTGGGGCAAATGTAATTATTCCAACCACGCAGAGTGTTGTGATCTCAGTCAGCAGTGGCACAGCAGTCACTCCTCCTCATCTGGAGCCCTGTGCAGGCAGGCGGCTTGATAACCACTGCAGAGTCACCCAGAAAGAGTCACAACAAAGAAAGTCGTCAACTGTTGTTATTCTGGTTTGGCAGTGTGGTTTACTAGGTTGCCAGTTTGTCTTAAGATTATGTAGCTTCAGCAGCCGGTGAAATAAAAATGGTTACTAAAAATGTGTATGTAGTATTTTTTTTTAATTTGGTGAAACACTTGTGCACTGGTAAAGCCACAAATGCGGTGACAAATAAATGAAGGAAAAACACCAACTTTTGCAGTGCATTTTTCACAAAAACAGACTGCTTTCAGTGTGTATACGCTTTACACGACCAGTTCGTACCTACAAAAACCCCCAAAAACAAACCAACAAAAGAATGGAATCTTGGGGTTTTTTTTAAATTTATTTAAATTTATTTTTTTATTTATTTTTTTGTGACACTGTGTATAAAGGCCTTAAATCCGCACACAGAGAGATGTCTGTTTTTAAGCTCAGTGTCTCATTGTGCTGTGCAGATGACCTGATGGCAGACCAAAGGATGGACATCTCGTCTACAATGACCGACTTCATGTCCCCCAGCTCCACTGACCTCATCTCCAGTTCCATCAGCACGCCTGGCATGGACTACACCCGCAAAAGGAAAGGCAGCACCACCGACTACCAGTAAGTAGACAAGGAAGAAAGAGAAGCTCAAATGCTCACTTTATTGGTAATATAAACATATTTGCTACTACTGCTTGACTTACCAGCAGTGGTAACTGTAACATCACATAAATAGACCTTGAATTTATTCTTGGCAATAAGGTGCACAGAGAAAGGGGAAAAATATACAGACTGAGAATTATGGGAAGAAGTGATAAAGTGAAATGACTAGATAGACAGAGTGTTTCTGGTCCTATTAACCATGTCTGATTATGGAGACACAAAGTCTTTTGCATTCATTAGTGCAGGTGTGCTACAATATTCATAACATTTGTGTCCTTAAACACTGTTAGCCAATGTTGCTAACACTTTACACGTTGTTTAAAAAAAACATAATGATCTGAATCATTCAGTGACAAAAAATTGATTGATAAATTTGTGTTTCTTTGCAGAATTGATGGCTTCTCATTTGAGTAAGTTCAAACATTACTCGATGTTAGTAGATCTAGCAAACTCAATTAATCAGCCTGAAATGCCACTGAACCCTCACACATAATCTTTTGCACCATGAAATATTGAACAGACTGAAAAGCAAACCTACTCAACCCAGTGAACCCTTTGTGAAGTGCTCTGGTTATTTGAATGTGTTCCTGTGGTCTTGCTGAAACTTATATCTCCTGTTTTCTCCTTCTCAGTGACATGGACCCAGATAAAGATAAACTGGGCAGGTAAGGCGCCATTATTGCCATGGTGATAGAGCTTTAATCTGCTGGATGTGTCTGTTTATTGCTCTTGAAATATCCTGCTTCTGGCACGATTGGGTTCCCTGTTGATTTCAACTTAAAGGGTCCGTTGAGCCAAATCATAACGTTCGTGTTTTCACACTCACATTTGTGAATCTCAGAGATCTGTATTTGGATGTTTCAGTGCCCACATAAACACAGAGGAGGTGAATGGAGGTTTTACACTGGATGCTGCTCAGAGTATTGAGAGATGTTATTTTTAACAACAGCAGCTCTTACTAGAATAAAAATCCATGTTGCTCTGAATATTACACAGATTCCAAGGTTTGTCCTTTAGAGCACAGTAGAGAACGATCGGGTAATAAACACCCAGTAAAGATGTTTAAGTTTTCCGCCACGAGGACTTTTGCCATGATCTATATGACCAAATCTGACACGTCAGAGTTTTTCACCATGTTAGGACTGCATGTTCGATCATTTTATTGCATCGGACGTCATCAGTGCAATTTAATTTCACTTAACAGGGAAAGAAAGGCAGTGATGGGTGTATTAAAATAATTTTTCGCAGAAATGTTCATAAAGTTAAAGCAAAGTTGAATGAATGTAATAAGCTGCACAGGAAAAGTATCATAAACTACTACAGCTGCTGTAATGCATGTTACTCTCCAGGGGAAAATCTCTTGCACACTGCACTGTGACACCAAAGCCAATCGAGGAGAACCATTTCACTACTGTACAGACATGTCTGCAGTTCAGCTGGGGGTGCAGTAGGGAGTGCTGCCTGAAGGAGAGTGAATGACGTAGTCACGTTACATAGCAACTTAAGGGGCTTTGGATGTATTACCCTTTGGTTTTACTGAACTAAGTGCTCGCCACACACTGGATTAGACAAATCTTCCACTAGCAGAAATAACCCAAAAAAGACACAGACAACGCCGAGTTTGGAGAGATGCTTTATCTCAAAATAAAGTCAGTCTCCTGACTTTTTAGACGAGTTTAACTCGTCCTAATTGTTTTTGGAAAGTCAAGGAATCATTTGCATGTACTATGAAGTCATCGTCTGGGTGTGTCTGTAGAGTGGAGTGGACATTTTCCTTGTTGTTGCTCTTTTTTCCTAACTGTAAATATGAGATAAAGAGATGTGTCATGTTTGTACTGCATTAGTCATCAGATTTGCCCTCTTGCTGCCCTTTTAAAGTATGTGCTATCGCATTAATTTAACAATCAAACCCTTCAGTCCTCTCTAATTTCTCTCTCTAATTCTTTCTCTGTTTTGTCTTTTCAGTGACCAACAGGGCAGGATTAAGAATGCCAGGTATAAACACTCCTTTTCTTTCTCTCTCTCCCATTCCCCCTTACCTGCTAAGCTCCCTTGCATGAATTAAATGTCACTCTGTGGATGGGGACAGAGAGATCTTTGTGCACACTGATAATAAGAAACTTTATACATTGAAGTGTATAGATCCAAGCATTATGTGGAAGGGGACTGTAAAAGCAAACCTAATTGCTAAAGCCAAGCTGTCTTTCTCTTACATGGAAAGAATTCTCTTTTATAGCTGCTTCTGTGCAAAGCGAGAGCAGACAAGCAGGAAGGATATAACCTTATAGTCGTGGAGGATCGGCAGAACAACAAAAACTGGATTTCTTCATGTCTCTTGAGGCTGTTTTCTTTGCGTCTTGCTAGCTGATTTATATCATGTTAGACAGGACTATGAATGCGTAGACAGTGGAGTCTGTTGGATAAGGTGCTAGGAGTTTGTATTTTGTAGAGCAGGTAAAGTTCAGCCAAGTTGGTTTATTATTATTTACTGTGGATTTCTGCCAGCAAGATGGGTGGAAAATGACTTTGTTCATTGACACTTTTTTGATGTCTGATGTCTTCTCCTGCACAGAGAGGCCCATAGCCAGATTGAGAAACGTCGCAGAGACAAGATGAACAGCTTCATCGATGAGCTGGCGTCACTGGTGCCCACCTGCAATGCCATGTCCCGCAAGCTGGATAAACTGACAGTCCTCCGGATGGCTGTCCAACACATGAAGACGCTCAGAGGTTAGAATCAACTGGGAGGGTTGGGGAGGCAACGAAGTGAAAAGTCTTCTCATTCAAACACTTGCTCGCATCAGTTTTTGTACTAACATGTGAAATATGCGCTGTTGAGGACCTGAGGGTTTCCATCCCAGTTAAATAAAGATTAAACAACGAAACATATTCATAAACATGGGAAACGTGAGAGGTTTTTACTGATCAGGTGACAAAGAAGATAATTGATGATGGATCCCTAATCGGGGAACGGGCAGGTCAGGATAGTTAAGATGGATGATGTTAATGCAGTGAAATACTTACCTGTGCCGTGTTGGAGACCGCTGTTAAAAATGTGAAGGTCAGTGGGGGCTGGTCAGCAGCTGGTCAGTTGATATTGGTAATCCTTTGGTAAACATTTCCAAATATGGAACTGTGTGTAATTCTTAAAGGGAGATAAATTCATGGTACTCAAAGCAAATAAGATTAAGTGGGAGCATACAGCTTTCTAAAAATGCTCTTATGTGTGCATGTGCAGTCTGAATAGTCACAGGTGTGACCTGCGTGTGTTTTAATGTTGTGTGCAGGTGCAGCCAACCCGTACACAGAGGCAAACTACAAGCCTTCCTTCCTCTCAGATGATGAACTGAAGCACTTGATACTAAGGGTGAGTGGAAAAATCAAAAATAATTAAGGTTCTTTTTATAACTATACAAAGGGGGGGAAAAACCTCCAGAAATGAACTTTTAATCCAGTTTTTAACGTTCTGTTTAATAATGCAGGCTGCTGATGGCTTCCTGTTTGTGGTCGGATGCGATCGTGGCAAGATCCTGTTTGTTTCTGAATCCGTGTACAAGATTCTCAACTACAGCCAGGTACGCTGACAGCCTGAGGAATGAAGGGATCTTTTTGTTAATGGTGGATGATTTTTAAGCCACCTTAAAAGGCTTTACTGTGGATCTGCGACAGGCATGCGTTAGTTCCTTTACAAAGCAAAAGAAGGATGCTGTGAATCTGCTCAATCACTATTACTACACAAACAAGTGGACAATTCATAGCCAGCAAACATCTGTCTATCCATCCTAATTTGAAATTCCACAAATTAAACAATTCAAATTTATTCATCTTTCTCTCTCCTCTCAAGAATGACCTGATAGGTCAGAGCCTGTTTGACTACCTTCACCCCAAGGACATCGCCAAGGTCAAAGAGCAGCTGTCGTCCTCTGATACAGCCCCACGAGAGAGACTCATCGATGCTAAAAGTAAGCAAAAATGGACGTGTGTAATCTGTTTTGTAGAGCCAAGAGTTTGGTCAATGCCGTTAAAATCTGTCACACCAAATGGTGTGAAAAAGGAACCCCATATAGGGAACTGAAGGCTAGAAACAGTCAGTGCATTTTCTCAAAGGAAAAGCCTGTTGATTTAACGATGGCAAACACAGCTGGAGGTAAAACAGGGGAAGTGTGAATCATTCAAGGCACTAAGAATAGAAAATGCAACCAAGAGCTCCAAATGGATTTATTTTCCACATGTGCGTTTCCTTTGTTATTTGTGTGCAAGTCCTTCTTTCTAAAATTGCTGAGGCTTGAAAGAATAGTCGTTTTCTGTTGACTGATTATTTTCTTTCCTTTATTTTTGCAGCTGGTCTTCCTGTGAAGACGGACATCACCCCCGGTCCTTCTAGACTCTGTTCTGGAGCTAGGCGGTCATTTTTCTGCAGGATGAAGTGCAACAGGCAGTCTGTCAAAGTAGAAGATAAAGACTTTCCCTCCACCTGCTCTAAGAAAAAAGGTAGCGTGCCATCGTCTTCATTAAAACCTGACAACCTTCCTCTCTGTCAGAGCACCACCTGAAAAAGCTCTGTGCTTATCAGCTCTCTGGTCCCTTTCTGACATCCACTCATTTCTGTAAATCTGATGTCTCTGCTTGTCAGTGCTGTTTCTGTATGGGTGGACTGATCACAGCCTTGTGAAAAGCTGTGACAGCAATCTTATGAAGCACGTGCAGTCAAGTTACCACTTACTCTTTTGGAGATTGGTGTCTAGATCTGACAAAAAGTAACAGCTGAAGTTAGTTTGTTGTTCCCAGTTGCTTCTAAAACTCTTTATTCTAAGTTAATGACATACCTGCAGGGTCCGTGTGCAAGCATCTCTAAATAAAGAAGGATGCACTCATTTATGCACGCAGCACTACAGCAAGAACTTAATTACCCTTGACACAGAGATAGGACTGGTCAGGATCTAACAATAAATGACATGGTGTGTTTTTCCCTTAACAATTATCTAAGGGTGTAGATGCACCATCATGACTACATGTAGGATGTAGCATCTGTAATTACCAAAGTATCGTCATATTAAACAAACTCTAATTTCAAGCATTTTACATCACTGTCAGGCCTAAAGGGTAAAAGGTATTGCTGCTGTGGCTCGTTTCTCCCACATCGTCTGACAGAACGGGTGAGGAGCATTAACATAAAAATAAGCCACGTCTGAATTGCGGAGAGCTTCCACTATATCAGCTCGATGAAGCCAGCAGTGTTTTGCATCCCGTGTCTTAAGAGACCTTTGGAGCGGCTTCTCTCTCCTCTCTATTTACATCTCACACAGTGCTTTGTAAATATCTCCATCACCTCCTTATGAAACCAAAAGCCCTCATTTCCTGGTGTTCCTGTTCTTCTATTTTTAGGTTCACATCCTTTTCATAACAAGGAATTGCACCTCAGTTGGCATGAGAGCATGGTGTTTATTTAACCTTTATTTACCCGCTCTATATTGTCAAAAACAAATTCTAGAGAAAGACCTGTCTGCTTAGATTTTAGTGCTTGAAAAGGTTAAATTTTTGGTCGGCTTTTGTTAGTTTAACTATTCAAATTTTTCATATTATAATGAAAACGATACATTTGACAGTTATCAGCTTTTTTCTTGTCTTTTATACTAGAACTGGCTAAAATAGATGCATCCTATTTCGGTAATGCATGAGGGCTCAGGTGGGGAAGCTATAACAGTAATGATGGAGCAGTGATTATTTATTCATGTTTCAGGTATTTCTTTTGTGTTTAAGTAGTTATTTGAATGATGTGTTTTCTGTGTATGAATGCGTCCTATTACCCGATGAGAGGACAGAGTTTATTTATTCATTTGAAAACCTTTTAATTAATCAGCAAAGCTTACACGCCATAAAAGAATCTCACCAGTGATAATCTTTGAAAATAGGGCTGCCTCTGAAAGTCAGAGCTATGAAGCATCAATCAAAGATGCTTTCAGTTGAGTGAGACTGCGAGCGCTTATCTGCAAACAACATGCGCTGCACTTGTAGATGAGAGGAGCTGAAACCTGAGGCGCAGGGCCTTTTTTTCCTGATAGGCGGTTGCTCGGTAAAGTCAGATGAAGAAGATTTTTGCCGGAATCTTTATGATCTTTATTAACTGCTTCTATAATTTAAAGGGGAAGAAGAAGCCAGGTGCTGATAATCAAATGCACTTGACAAACTGATGAGCAAGAATGACTACCTCTGTAAAAGCAGAAGTTGTGCAGTTTGCTTCTATGGAGCATTCAGGAGGGTGATAACATAACGCTATAATCTTTCCAGAATTCACCCCAAGGTCAGACTGTGCAATGCTCAAAGGCACTACAAATAACCCAGGAGCTACATCTCCGGCTCTACAGGCCTCAGTTAACATGTTAACTGTTAAAGTTCATAACATTATATTTAGAAAAAGATCATGAACTCAGCTGTATACATAGGTATTCTAGAGACATATCTGAGGCCGTCTGCCCCTTAATAAAGCTTGGAAATGACGAAGTTGGGTCGTGTGACACGACAGCGATCCCCTGCACAGCAGCAAATCTACAGCTGGGTGGCTGGAAAGAAAAGTATCAAGCTGTTTCTTCACTCTTACGATTACTTCAGTTGGACTTTTATTGTGAAGAGATCCACAGAGTGAAAATGTGAAGATGGATTTTTATTCTCGCAAGATGACAACGTTCTCATTAAAGTGAACTTTGGCCTAACTACCTTAACAGTTTGCTTTGTTGTTGATGAACAGTTGCAATGGGCCAGTAAAAGTCCAGACCTCACCCTGAATGTAATGATGTGGTTGGACCTTAAGATTCAGCTGTGCTGAGCAAATGCCTAAAAATCTCAGTGAAGTAACACTGTAAGGTAGAGTGGGCGGGCCAAAATTGATCCGCAACAGTGTGTAAGGCTGATTAAATCATACAGAAAACAGTTTGGTTCTGCTGGTGTCACGCTCTGCCTCCAGCTCATTTCTGCAGAGTTGGTCCAAACAGTAAAAGTTAACACAAAAACTGCTAAAGCCAAAAATGAATTTGAACTCTGAGCAAGAACCAGACTATCATTTAACAACATCACAAACTACAAGAAAATGTTATGTTGCAATTAAAAAGCACTGAGGTAGTTTAATTTGAACAGAAACATGTGATGGCCCATTAATCAAGTAAAAAAATATGAACGACGACAACACATGGGACCTGCTGAATCACATTTAACTGACCAAATTCTGATTTGTGTGAATCTTATTTGGAAATTGCACCTGGGCTGTTCTGGCAACCTCTATATCACACTTCATTAGCTGTGTGCCAAGCAGGTCAGGGCTGAAAGCAGTCTGAGTCAGCTTGGCAGACGGTGGTTTCAGCCGTGGTGAATTAGCTGGAACACATTGGAGTGCAGTGTAACATCACGCCTGGACTCGAGTTTTTAAGATTAAAAATCAAAGGTTTAGAACAAGACACGAACGGAGCCTGGGTCGCTCAATTTTCCTCGTCGGAAAGTGACGCACGGGACATTTGCACTTCGATCAGTCAATATAAGAAGATTTTCCTGGAATACATTGCAGCATCTGCTCCACTGGTCTAAGAGCAAATGAAAACATGGCTGGCTGCGTTTGGAGCTACTTAGTAGCTTATTGAGGAACTGGAGTGTAAAACGTCTTTTATAATCAGAGGAACATTTGCAGGCACATACATGCAGCTGATTGTCACAGTTCATGTTAAAAAATGTTAGCAGTTAACGTTCATGGAGACACACTTCTCTGTGTTACATGGGGGGGGGCTGCAAAGTTCAGTACAGCTACAGAAGTGAAACCGCCAAGAAGGTATTTTACTTGTGTAACATGTGTTGAGGAGATGGGAGAAGTACTCCCGTCTTCATAGAGAGTGGAAAGGTGTTCCAGATGGTTTGGGCGTTTGCAGAGGAAGGATGGCAGATATACTGGACAAAGGCTGTTGAAGATGAAGTTGCCAGGCAGGAGGTTCTTGTAGTTTCTAATCTTGTAGTTTTATGGCAAAGAGCAAGAAATAAACAGCCCTGAAAATCACAGATGGGCTCATTTGTCAAAAATAGTTTAAAGAGGGTACAGGCCAAAGTCCACACAGCACTAGCTGATTAACTGTGATCCTTTAATCCTGCAGGGACGACCGTATGATTTGTCTTCAAGGGTTCAGCCTAGTGTTTTGATTTGTATTTGATAATTAGCTGTAACTGCATCACTGCTGTGGCTTCCTCAGCGTTTTGTAAGAGATTTTGAATCAATCAGCCAAACTGTTCAGATGTGGGTTCATAATCAAAAATAAATCCCCATCACATTCAGTTCAGTGAACTGTAAAAAATGCTCCATCATACCCCACAGCATGGTGACGGTATCCCACTAAGATGGCCCTGCTTATTTCTAATTTTAACGCCTCTCTCTCGCGTCTCTTCACTCTCATTACAGCGGACCGTAAGAGCTTCTGCACTATCCACAGCACAGGCTACTTGAAGAGCTGGCCACCTACCAAGATGGGTCTCGACGAAGACAATGAACCCGACAACGAGGGCTGCAACCTGAGCTGCCTGGTGGCCATCGGCCGCCTGCACCCCCACATCGTCCCCCAGCCCAGCCTGGCAGACATCAGGGTGAAGCCGACAGAGTACGTCTCCCGGCACGCCATCGACGGCAAGTTCGTCTTCGTTGACCAGAGGTGAGAGGCAAAAGGGGAGAGCCGAATAGGTCACCTCGTCTTGATTTATGTGACAGGACAGTAAAGTTCAGCTGCTTGCATACTCACATGATTTTCAAGGTCGCATTTCCCTCAGCTTATCCTCAGAGTCCGCCTGCTTGTTGATATATTTAGAGAGCAAAAGATTGGATAATAAAAGGATAAAATGGCCAAAAATTGAACAGACTGTAATTTTGATATGAGAGTTTGATATGAAATTGCCTCCTGAAGGGTGGAGGGGTGAGAGCTGTGAGGAAATATGGATTCAGAGAAATCGAAATAACTTGTAGTGCATAAAATGTCAGAGTAGAGCCACAAATAGTCTGCTTTTACCTGCAGCGCTGTGTCATTTAGCACAGCCTTTGTTAGCAACAAACACGATGGAGTCAAATACACCCCTGTTTAGGATGCGGTGATTTTTGAGTTTTTAATTTTAGCTGTTTAGATGAACACATTATGTTTCAGTACACACTGTTTTACCTTGGTGCTGTGTTACAACCGGCCTTTAGTACAGATGAAAAGCTTTTCAGTTAAATGAGTTTTATTCTTGCTCAGTGCATTAAGTGCAGTGAGGTTTCAGGACACAGTGATCTGTTTTTGGGTGATTCACTATCTTAGAAAACCTTTGTTGCCCATAATTAAGACTCTCACCAGCAGCTGCAAGCGAACAATCCTCTTTGTGTCTGTGTGTTCTTCCAGAGCCACAGCCATCCTAGCCTACCTACCCCAGGAGCTGCTGGGAACTTCCTTCTATGAGTATTTCCACCAGGACGACATCAGCCACCTGGCAGAATGTCATAGACAAGGTGCCTTCTGAGAAACCTCTAGAATCCTTGTTAGAGTTTAATAGAGAAGATGTGAATGAATGAATGCGTGTGCTCACTGCGAATGTATCGCAAATGTCCACAGTGCTACAGATGAGGGAGAAGATCAACACCAACTGTTACAAGTTCAAGATCAAAGATGGCTCCTTCATCACGTTAAGAAGCAGATGGTTCAGCTTTATGAACCCCTGGACCAAGGAGGTGGAGTACATCGTGTCTACCAACACTGTGGTGTCGTAAGTATCTGAAAACGCATTTTATTTGCTTTACCTGGAAGTTTTTAAGCTATAAACAAAAATATTTTGGCTCTTTGAAGACTCGGGTACATCACCTGTGCGCTTTCCCCCCCTTCTTCAGGTGTCCTATGATGGAGGGATCAGATTACCCTCAGTCTGCTGCCTCTCCACAGAGTATGGACAGCGTCCTGACCTCAGAGGGTAAATGACTTCCTTCATTCTTTCACTCCCTGCTTATTTATCAAAAACATCAGCCCATGTCCACAGTTATTCTTCACAGTGCATACATTCTTCTTCTCTTGATTGCTGCTGATTGGTAGGTGGGGGGAGGCGGGCGCTGCAGACGGTGCCTGGTATCCCCGGCGGCACAAGAGCGGGAGCTGGGAAGATTGGACGCATGATTGCTGAGGAAGTGATGGAGATCCAGAGGTGAGAATAGGAGAATTTCTGTGGTTTTTACAATCTCAAACCAGTCGAGCAGAAAACCAGCATTAGTGCTCTAATGGAAAATCACCGTGGCCTAGTTTCTTACTCAGATCATGCTGATAGAGGTGACACAGAGAATGAATTATCAGGTATTACAAGCCAGCTGTACACACTGGCAGGTGAGTATATGACAAACCATTGCACTGAATCATTTCAAATGTCAGGTTACAATAAAATGGAGAATAGGCACATGTTCTGTGCTGTCTAAAGTAGGACAGTGTGTTCGCGCTGCAGGCTCTTCTCCTCGCTTTGTGAAACTTCAAGGCTGATGATGAAACCCAGCCAAAATACCACAGACTGTCTCTGCTGATAAATGATCGCCCGATTGTTATGGCAGTTCTGAAAAATGATTGTGTTCAGTGAGGCTGATAGAAGAGGGACTTTTTTTATTTGGGGTTTTCATGTGCTGGAAGATTTTTTGGCATTTTAGGGAAAGATGCTGTTTGACCTTCTGAGACTGGTCAAATTTGCAGACCACATGAATTCATGCCTGATGCAGCGATACATACACGCGTGTGTGTAATTACTCATGCAGTACGTGTGAACATGCACGTTTTCTTTTATCCTTTAGGACAAAAAAATAACAAGGCAATAATTGGCTGCCTCTTTAGCAAATACACAGAGGATTAGTCGTCCTTGTTCTGCTCTGGCATGTCACATAAGAGAGCAGCATGAAGACATTCTCCACCTGGTGCAGGTTCTGAGGCAGGAAAACAAATTATTGTTGCCAGCTGCAAACCTCGTAGAGTCTCTCCAACCATGACGAGGGATTTACCGACCTGATATTTAAATCTGAAGTATGTTTGATCTGGACTCACAGAGCTGTTTCAGGTATAATCTGTTCAGTTCCCTTGTATTTAGTGTGTGATACCTCAGCGCTGCACTGGTTGCTAGGAGAAGAAACCACAAAGGATCAGCATACATGCAATGGAAAAACCTTTCTTTAAGTGTTTGAGAGCAATTAACATAGTCACAAAATAAATAGGCTTATTGTAGCACTAGCATCGTGTTGGTACTTGATATCGACTCTACGAGTACCTGGAATGGTGTACTTGTTGTGTTTCATGTACTTGTACTTTTCAGTTCATTCAAAATGGCGAGTGTGAATACAGGAATAGACGATTGGAGACAGCCTAGATCTGATTCAGAAACACTGCTGTTATCTGTTTCTCCCTATCAGGATTCGAGGCTCCTCCCCCTCCAGCTGTGGCTCCAGCCCTCTGAATATTACCAGCACACCTCCACCCGACACCTGCTCCCCAGGGGGCAAGAAGGTAACACACACACACCTAATTGACCTGAAAGCAGTTGAATTTGTGTGCTTCTCTGTGAACGTGCACTGTGGTGAGGGCCACGTGCTCGGGGTTCCTGCAGGACATTTAAAAAAAATATTCATATATCTGTAAATAAAACGTGAAAAATAAAGTCTTTAGATGTCCTTTATTTTGAGATGGTGTCTTTAAAAGTCACTACTAATAAAATAATTCTGTAAATCACTTGCTCGGTATTGTCATCTCTCTGTTGTCATGCACATTTATTTATTTTAGGATAAAATTAAACAGTTTGACCCTCCAGGGCAGGGATGTCAGACTCCTTTTACAATGTGGGCCAAATCCAGACTCTGACTCTGAGTGAGCTGAATCAGTGAAACTACACGATGAATGTCTGTGATGGTTCTTAGTCATTCAGGTCATCGTAGTCGGAGTTTCTTGAAGATGATTCACTTCTCAGATGAGAGGTGAATCATCTTCAAGAAGCTCCTTAGACTACATGATAAATGTGTATAATTACAGAAAAGGTTCTGGTAGTTCTTTGCCCAGATGGTCCTGAAATTGTAAAATATTACATTTTTGTTAATTCAGAGAAAAGGTCCTGTGTACTTAATGTAAAAATCATAATTTTATATAGTAAATACGGAAAAACCAGGAACTTTATGTCATTTAAGTGTTTATCTATTACCTAATTACTTTGCTGTGTGAATGGCAATTAATCGGGGTTCTTTATCATTAGGAGAAGTTGTAAAAACTGTTAAAACTTCAAATCTATGCACTCCTTCACATTTTTCAGAGCCATCCAGTGGGCTGGAGTCTTTCAGAGGCCAACTCTGGGCCCCAGGCTTCATGTTTGACACCACTGCTCTAGCTCCTGCACTACCCTAACAGAATAACTGTCCTCGTCTCTACTTTAGACATAATTGCATTGTTGAAACACCAAACTCGTCTGGTCTAATCTTAGTATTTATAGTGCAGGAACTTCATGGGTCTGTCTAAAACCTGAAAAAAAAGCCCCTAGAACAAACCCAGAAGATCAGAATGTACAAAATTATTTTATCCTGTTTTAATAATGATAAAAATGCTGCTTAACAGTTTAACATGTGTATACAAGTTCATGCTTCCGCGAACCTCAGTGTTCGCTCTCACTGAACAAGTTCAATGTTTTTACATTGAACTGATGTTTACTCATGTCGTCTCTGCAGATTCAGAACGGCGGGACGCCCGAGCTGCAAAGCACGGGGATGCTTCCTGGACCCGACTCTGTTGGCTACCCCTACTCCAACCAGTCCATCATGAGTAAGTCACTGAGTAAATCTGTCATTTTATGATTATGACCTCTTCATCAGTCATCTTCTTAACAAGTTGCTCTCTGTAAAGGTGACAACTCCCACCTGAGCATAGACATCATGGATGAGCCCGGTTCCAGCAGCCCCAGCAACGACGAGGCGGCCATGGCTGTCATTATGTCCTTGCTGGAGGCGGACGCTGGCCTCGGGGGGCCCGTCGACTTCAGCGACCTACCCTGGCCGTTGTGAGGAAGCTGGGAGGGACGAGCCGGAGCTGCTGACGTGGGGTCGACGTCTGGTTGCCACGTTTTCCAACCTGTGTGCATGACGGCACCGCAAAAATGTCCATCTTAACAAAAAAAGGAAGAAAAAAAACGCTCTGTAGATACAGAGGAGATCCTCTCTCTTTAGGTGTCCATCAGACTGGATGGCCGTTAGGTTTCACCCCCAAGTTTTTGGTTCGTCATTCCCTGCAGGTGGAGCTGAGATCCTGTTAAGATGCTAATTTTTCCAGTGCTGGTTTTCTAACGTTGCCACGGTGAGAAACCATTTCTCTAACAACGGCGGTGCTGACATGTCAATGCTCCTTCACTCTCTACCCCATCAATGCAAATTAACAGAAGGCCCCCCTCCCCTCCCCCAAGACACTCGAGACGGTGGCAGAAGTTTAATGGTGTTGTGTTGGGTGGTGAGCCCCCTGTCTCTGAGGTTTCCCTGTAGGATACTGTACAAGCACGAGGACGTGAACACACAACAGAAGATACTCAGAGGACCTTTATTCCCAAAATTCCACTACCAGGTGTATCTCATGTATTTAACTTCTTCCTTCTTTTTTGTAAAGACTGAATTGTTTTGGAAGGCACCGCCCAGCTGCTGTTTCCAGAGTTTACGCAAACTTTTACTCCAAGCTGCTCATCCTCGTCTGTTTCCTCAGAAATACCGAACTTCTCAGTTTCCTTCTGTGTTCACTCAAACAGCCTGCAGTGCTTCTGAGAGAGGCATTAGGAAGCTAGAAAAAAAGGCGAAAGCGCTGGAATTGAGGGGGGGGTTGTTGGGTTGAGGATCCCTGTGCGTGTGCCTGTGTGTGTGTGTGTGTGTTGAGAAACAGACCAGTAAGGTTTAACAGGTTGGCCTGTGTGGCCTTGCTTATAAATCAAACTGATCTTTTTACTGTTATTTTCTAGTGAATGCAGACATGCTTCCTATACGGAAGAAGGAGGGATAAGTTGAAACATTGCAAATATAATAAAAATCCCAGCAGTAAGCGAGACGGGTGTGCAGAGCTCCGTTAGGTCGGGGTTCCCTGCGTCACGTGTTCCCGTCTATTTAAAAGGCGCTGGTGAAATAAAGCAGGCGATTAGAACAGCCTCGGGATCGTGGATAGATTTAAGAGGGACTAAACACAGCCACGGGTCTAAACTCACACACCAAGGACCAAACGCCACACGGCTGCAGTAATAACATGACGTAGTCGATGGTACTGCCACTGTCTGCTTGCGTATGAACATAAAAGATGCAGAATAAAAGCGGACAGTGGCTGCAGTGGTTTTAATACTCTGGTTCTTGTTTTAGAACTTAGTCTTTCTCTTCAGCCCACAGAGCGGTTCTTCCTCATACCAATCCAAATGCTCTCTGCAGGTAGACGGGCGTGGACGCAGTGTAGTGTAGATTCTCCACAGATGAGTCCATGTGGTCACAGAGAACAGGCAGGCGAGCAGACATCCACACAGATCCTCACACTCACTGATTGCAAAGCCTCGAAGGTCCGTTTGGTTCGTAATTTGTGACAAATTTGCATCACTCAGACTCGAGCAGACTCCAGAATCGTATTTTTTCAGCGTCATCTTTACTGAGTTCCCAGCTCGCCTGCTGCACTTGCAGTTTTAAATCTTTGCATTATTGGCAAGTGATGCTTTATTAACCAACGTTAAGCTTTTTCCTTTCACCACTGAAGCTTTTTAAATGACTGGTGCTCAGTAGTGATCTTAAGTCCAAACTACTGAAGCCATCTATTTAAAAAAAGAAAAAAGAAAAAAAGTGCCAAATCTTTTATTTGCGTTAAGTTTCTCCCCGAAGAAGAAAGAGGAGGGAAAAACCCAACCGATCCAAGACCCAAACCTTGAGAGAATGTCGGCAGCGTCTGCAGCTCCGACGTGCTGCATGAGAGTCAAGCTCAGTCCTTAATCAGCTTAGCCAACTGAAAATCTCCAATCTGTCATAAACGTTTTGATTTCTATTGGACCAAAAAGGCTAAAAAGTGTAAATCTACTCCCATCATTCATTATTTCAAAAACAAGGCCTATAAACACGGGTGAAACTGCACTGAACCTAATCGAGCAGCACAGTCCCACAGGGAGACCCATAAACCAGCTCTGAATATAAGACAGTCTTGGTGCATAGATTGAAAGACTCCAGCATTGTAGGTCAAAGGAATAATAATAAAAAAAAAAAAGACCATCAGCGAAGATCTGTTCCTCCTCGTGGACGGCCTCCTGCTCGTTTATCTCTGGTGGGCTTCTGAGCGTTTGCAGCGAGCGCTCCGCAGGAGAGGAGCGAACAGCTGGAGTGAAGCTCTGACAGCTGTCAGAACAAAGAACGAGGCTTTAATGGGGGGAAAAGGTGGTTAATTGAGTCCGGTGGGAGCAGCAGCTGTATGGGCGGGCGCATTCGGTGTGCTCGACAGCAAACCAGGACTGTTCAAGTGCTCCTCCATGAGGAAATGTTCTTCACTGCCATTTTATTGACAATGCGGGAGGCGACGCGGCGTCAGCCTGCTAACATAAAAACCAATAAGCTTGGGTTACAGGGTCTCCACCTACTCACCCCCTCACTGATCCTTCAGCCTCTCAGTCTTGTGTTGAACTGTGTTCTCAGCAGAGGGGACTGGATGGGCTCTTTGGGCTTTACTTTACACCACCCACAGAAGGATCCACCCCCTTTTTTAACCAGCCTGGGTGGGGCTAAAAGAAGCTGAAAACCCCCCCAAAAAACCTCTCAGCTGATTTATTTGCAGACTTGCCAGACTGCATTTACTCTTAAATTTGGTCTTTTTTTTTTTTTTTTTGCCCGTTTCACCCAACTGTTAATTCAAACTACCTTACTAACTGCTGGTGAACAAAGAGGACTTTGTAACGAAGATGGAGCTCACCAACATCTCTAATCACTTCCTGCAACAGTTTCTGGGGGTCACGAGAGATTTTTAATAGACTTTTTTTTCCCTCGATGATGAAGATGATCCCTAATTTGACCTCTTCACCTCTCTGCTGTCACAGCCCCAGGCCTTTGTGTTGTCCGATAAATTAGAGGCAGACATGACAAAAACCAAAAGAAGCAAAGACACAATCAGATTTGCCTTTTAACTTTCTGAAATCAGTTTTGGAAACAAAAAAAAAATCTAATTAGATGTTTGGAAATATTTTTTTAATGGCGCTGCATTATAAATACATTATGAAGGCTCCGGTTTGGAGGCGCAGCGATAAAGCCTGGATTTGAGTCTGAAAGACGAAATCCCAGAGATGTATTTAAAAAAAGTAAATGAATAAAAAACACAGAAACAAAAGAAGTTTTCTTCATCGCTCTATTTGCAAAGCATAAACAAAAGTAAACTGTGTTCTTGTGTATAACATGAAAAAGGTCTTTAAAGGGCTGATGTATAACTTCTCAGCTTCTCACAGTGACCAGCACGTTCTTATACAAACACGAGGCTTCCTGTCAAACTTAGAACACTTTTGATGTGGGCGGGGCTAACACTTGAGGAAAATACTTTTTCATGATGGGTTTTCTGTTTTTAACTTTCAAAGAAAATACATGTGAGACACAAGCTGGGCTAATACAAGTCCCCTTTTTTATTTCCACGTGGGCAGACAATGTTAACATCGACCAACTGTGGCAGCAGCTTTTAAAAGAAATCCTTATTTGAGGAGGCTGAATGCTGCGAGAGTGGCAGCTGCAGCACCAGCTGCTGTTTGGACCTCAGCCGCTTAAGTTTAAGCCGGGCTCAGACTCCGCCTCCGCCGTCCTCCTCCAATCAGGCAGCAGCTGGCAAGGTCCCCTCTGTATCTGTTCTAGTGGGTTTATTTCTGTTTTAAGTGTTTCTACTCTACACACTACAATAAAGTGTTCTCCTTGTTGATATCTCCCTGCCCCACCTGACGATAATGTATCAAATCTTTAAATATTATCATGTTAAGAGTATACTTTATGCAAATATATATGAGTATGATGAGTGTATTGTATGTATCAGCAGTGAAATATTTTTCAAATAAAATTATTTGTTTCTGTCATCGAGATTCGCCCGTGTTTACAGTCGCTTGCTGGCTTCATTCACAACTCTCAGCCAATCGGTGAAGCCCGCTGGTATTTTTATATGGTGTTGCCATCCAGCTCGGGCAGAATCTGCAACAGAGAAACGCTGCTGCTGCTTCTCCACCGCCACATGCAGCTGAATAGAGCTGAGCGGTTAAAGCACACTTCAGCGGGACAAAGAGCTTGTAGGTTAACCCGAGAGGTTCGTCGTGGTTTGCTTCCCGCGGCCCTGTAAAGTTGCTCAAAGCATGAGCAGACACTGTGGACGCACATTAAATAATCATGGTTACAGTGGAAGCAGCGTATCTATATTTGATCTGTCCAGCCGAGGTTGGGTCGTTTTCCTGTTACTGAGCATTTCTTTCATCCTCTGCCAAAGCTTCACAACACCTCAGATGCCGCTTTAAAAATTGAAAGTAAAGTTTCTTCTTGAGACTCTGCGTGTTATGCGAAGGCATCTGAATTTTAATATTTCAAAACTTTCAGTGCTGCTGCATCTGGAGGGATGTCTTCTAAAGCTGAGTCACTGCACGCCGATCACATCTGCAGGCTTCAAACATCACTAATCACGCAGCCTGGATCAGTGTGCGGCGCCAAGACCTGGACGTGAAGCTGTTATAACAGCAGAAGGCTTCAGCAGGACGGCTTGCATTCAAATGACACAATGTTTGACTTATTAATGAGTGATTAACATGTAAACAGCCAGTGTTGGAAACATCTGAGGTGGAGATTTTAATCACCATAAGCACCTTAGGGTTCGAGAGGACTCATTTTCTGCCATGTATATACTTATAGCCACTTTATTAGGTACACCTTTTCAGCTAATTGTTAATATATACCTAATCTAAGTAAATCTATAATCAGCCAATCACATGGCAGCAACTCGATGCATTCAAGGTGACCTGCTGAAGCTCAAACCAAGCATCAGAATAAAAAGAAAGGTGACTTTTAATGTTGTTGCTGCCAGATGGGCTAATTTGAGTATTTCAGAAACAGCTGATCTGCTGGGATTTCCCCAAACAACCATCTTTCAGGTTTAGAGGTTCCAGTGGTCTCAAGTATTGCTGCTGACCATGTCTACCCCTTTATGACAGGGGTGGGCAATTCCAGGCCTCGAGGGCCGGTGTCCTGCAGGTTTTAGATCTCACCTTAGGTTAACACACCTGAATCACATGATTAGTTCGTAACCAGGCCTCTGGAGAACTTCAGGACATGTTGAGGAGGTAATTTAGCCATTTAAATCAGCTGTGTTGGTTCAAGGACACATATAAAACCTGCAGGGACACCGGCCCTCGAGGCCTGCAGTTGCCCACCTCCAAAATCTGAGGAATGTTTCCAAGACCTCATTAATTCTGAGACATGAAGAAAACAGCTTAAATAAGAAAGCGACTGTGATTCTTGAAGGTGTTGTAAATAGCATTTATTTAAAAAAAACAAACCAAAAAACGTGTTCAGCATCTTTTCTGACATCCTGTGTGCTCGCAGCAGTGATGATGGATCTGTGCAGAGTTTCAGAGCACCGCGGTCAAGACTCAGGAGTGGAGCAGAAAATAAACAAGACTTAAACTAACACCTAACTTATCAGAGGGGTGTACTGCAAAACGAAAATCAGTCTTCAGTTAACAGGTGATGATCATATAATCTGATCCGGAGCAAATTATATTCAGAGTTTTGGTTTAAAATCTGTTGCAAGTGGCACATTTCTGTTTGCAGAGCATACCATCAAGTCCTGCCGTAAAGCTACAGCTCTGCAAACTGTGCATGACACAGTTTCATAGCTCTGATATCCAGCTGTCCAAATAAACAGCAGCACATCGAGCATGCTGAGTTCTAATTTATTAATCCACAGCAGTGTTGCCTTCTGCTGTTTTATTTATATTACTTATACACACACACTATTTATCCCCTCTTTATAATATCTCAGAGTGAGATATATGGCACTCGATCAGATTTGTGAGGAAGAAGAGTAAAAAGCCACATCAAACACCTGGTTTTATGGAAGCGTGCAGAAAATCTGTGTTGACAGAGAAAACTTATAACCACCATTATTACCGTCATCTCTGGGATACTGGGGGTTTTAATTACTGTCGAATCAGCTAACTCAAAGTCTGGCAATGCTGAACCCGCTCTGTAGTGCACCCCTCTGAAGTAAACACATGTATGTTGTGTGAAACGTTGTGACACAAGAAAAAGAGTCCATCTTCACATCAAATTATTGCCCCCCCCCCACAGAAATATGCAGAGGCACTGAAATCCACTTTCCCAGTGAGGTACAGTATTCTACAACACACACACAGCACTCAGCATTCACACATGTAAAACAGATCTTTCCTCACGTGTACACAAAGGTCCACTAAACTCTCCTTTGGTTGACAAATCAAAGAGTAAACAGAGCTGGGAGGGGAGGTTTGCTGATGTGCTTCTAGTTCTCATTCATTCGGACGCCGTGTGGACTGAAAGCAGCTGCAGCAGAGGTGCAACACAAGGCAAACTGGTGTTTTGCCACTCAGGAGGAAGAGGTGGTGGTGGAGGAGACACTGGAAAAGTCTGTGCTCACACTGAAAGCAACACGCCGCTTAAACTCTACAACTTTGTGCGCTTGCTGACTGCTAAAGGCCAATCACACGTGTGTGTGCTTCATTAGGTGGCAACATGTGTGCAGCTGTGATGAGAATGCAAGAAGCCTTGTTGGTGAAGGTGAAAGCATTTGTTGCTGGAGGTGTGAACACAGAGGTGGAGGGGGGGGAGTGTGTAGCAAACCGTCTCATGCAGAGGGTGATGGCATGTCGGGGTCCGGCTCGTAGCGGTAAGTGGCCTGAGTCTGGCTGCCGCTGCTATGCTGCTGCTGGTTGCTGTGTGCGGCCGGGCCCGAGCCGTCCTGAGCCTGCTGGTTCAGGCCCTCGTAGGCCTGTGCTGGCTGGGGGGCTGCACTGCTCTCAGACGCCGGCCCCAGCACCACCTGCTGGGGGAGAGTGTCCAGCTCGTCCACCTGCGGCCCGGGAGGGTGCATGACCACCAGCTGGTCCTGCGGAATGTCTGCGGCCGCCGCTGCCAGGTTGGTGGTCGACTTGGACTTGACGCACTGAAAGTCCACATGCCGACTCTTGCCTTCCTCCTTCTCCCAGGACATCCTGATGAAGGGGCGCTGCACGTAGTTGTAGATGACTTCCGGACGGCCTCCAGGTCGTCGCTTCACCTTCTCTTTGTAGGTCGGGTATCCTGGGAAGGAAGGAACAATATGTAATCGGGACAAAACAAGCTCGAGTGGAGCTGGGTTGCAAAATAGCTTGCAGACAGATACGCACTAACAGCATCTATTGGTTGGAGGATGAGGAGAAACAACTACTCACTACAGGTGCGAGTGCACACAAGTTAATGACATACTGTTATTGGTATAAAACCATCATGGGTAGCCTCCTCCAGCAGTCTGAGCTTAGAGCAGTGTAACTAAGCGAGGATTCAGAGTCACCCGATCCAACCCCAACTATGTTTTATCAAAAAGTTACGTTTTAAGCCAAATCTTAAAAGTAGAGGCTGTCTGCCTCCCGAATCCAAACTAAGCAGCTGAACTATAACTAATGACTCTGTGAGATTCACCATTTGACTCAAACACTGTTTGAGTCAAATGGTGTTTGAGTTAATATAATATGATGGGAAAATAAACCAACAAGACTCTGCTGATGGCATCAAACTAACCTATATTTAAAAAAAAAATTCAACTTGGATATTGTTAATTACTGATAATTGAAAAAATGTGGGATGTGTGGCCCTGATTCTTTTCGAGCTCCAGCTTTGAGACATGCCAGAAGAAAGTGTTACTTGGCTTCACGCATAGAGGCGAATGTTACTGAGAGTTTTAGCATGAAGCTAGAGCTTGTATTTAACATTTTCCTAAAAGTCATGTAATGAAAGCCACATTTACTGGCATTTTACTGTTGTTGTGGAAATTCTTGCCTCAGATTTGGCCTTTTAGATTTTAACAACCTGTTAAACAACATCATTTACTGTGTGTCGTGTGGGTAAAAACGTCCCTCTGCAGGCCCGCAGGAACGCTCCCGTTTGTTCCTGTGAAACTGTTTCCATGACCTACAACTGTTTTTCCTTCCAGGTTTGCTGTTGTGTTTTTTAGCTTGGTAAATGGAGTGATTCTTACATAGCGGAGTACTAGCTAACATTTATACTCCAAAGGATGCATCGGAGAGCAACTTCCTCCTGAACTACAGGAGGTAGAGCAGGCATAACAAGCCATCATGACAAGTACTGTAATGTGAGCTGAAGTACTCTGCAGACTTTTATGCTGCTTATGACGATTAGATAGCGGTCCATCATAAAGCATCATCAAGAAGGTGACTGATGTCTCCTAAATGAATTCATTCCATCCTCTCCTCACACAGACATGACCTCACCAAGTCACTTGTATTAGGAGACGGTAGATACCAATGTGGTCTAAACATAGAGAAGAACTAGGGCAGGGGTCTGCAACCTTTTACACCCAAAGAGCCACTTGGACCCGGTTTCCACGCAAAAGAAAACACTGGGAGCCGCAAATACTTTTTGAAATCTAAAATGAAGATAACACTGTATATATTGGTTTTTTTTACCTTTATGCTTTGTGTGAACAACTAAAGTAAATAAGTAAAGTTTATTTATTAACACAAAGCGCTGTACACAAAATTAAAATAAACAATACAATCAATAGACATTATACACAATGTAAAAGATCAAATGTAAATAATGTAAAGAATATAAAATACGTAGATCAACAAAAGGCTTGTTTGAACAGAAAAGTTTTTAACTGCTTTTTAAAAGAATCCACAGAGCAACTAAGGTGTGTTGCTTAAGAAATCCATGAAGTGCTACAGAGAAAATTACATTACATTACAAATATGTATTTTACCTGGTTAATGTGTGTGGCGGGGCGTGGTCTGCAGCGCCGCTGCAGGGGAGGCGGACGCACCTGAGCAGCACCCGCAATCACGCCTCG